TCCCGGCGCCGCTACGATTTAGCACATGCCAAACGACGATGGCGATCTTTGTACACATACTAGCATATATACCAACGGCCGCCCATGTCTCATCATATCTCATCATATCTCATCAAATCTCATCCATATATTATCCACCCAAATTCACACTCGCATGTTCAAGACATTTGCACGCCGACCGAATCCCACCGCCCGCTGGCATCGAGTACCAGATGCAACGTCCGTGGAAGTCTCGGACGATGTTCTTGCTTTGCGGTGGCCAGATCGTCAAGGCACCAGAACGGCACTACCACCGTGCGCGAGAGCCTACGACATTGGCGCTTGGCCTCGTCTCACTGGCACGTGTATTACGATGTCCAGTTTTTTTTGGTATAATCCGACCTGGACGAACCCGACGACATCCTGGTACATTTTGGCGACGCAGCCACCGTCTCTTGCTCGAGTCCATAGACAACTGGCTTGGGCACAGCGCCGGCTGGATATGTTTGACGGCTGCTCTCTTTGGCCGGGCCCGGCAGGCGAAGGACTCTCCCACGGCGGAATGGCATGCGGGAGAAGCAATGACAGTCTTCTGTCGATGTTGTAATATGGGTTTGGCACATTTCGAGTCTTTGGCTCTTTGGCACTTTGGCTCCGGCGAGCAGCCGAAACGGCGCATTAAAGACCTCGGCGGGTTTATACGCCCCCGTGGCATTCTACGTCTTGTTTACAGTAGGGGATTTAGGGGTTCTGGGCACGGAGCATTTCCATTGCATTGTACTTTTAGCTCATGACATTTGAAAGCTCATGACATTTGAAAGCTCACATCATTCTACAGCTCTGTTTTGTTTCTTCCACATGTGGCTTGCGCGTAGTGATGCCAAGTCTGTTGGCCTGTATGTTCGTATGAGGTCTTAATCAAATACCATGAATCAGCACCTTACATTCCTGACTGCTTTACAACACCACATGGAAGTGCACCGGCCCCAGCATGCCAGCTGCGAAATATGATCTGCTCGTATTGCATGCCACAGAACATCATCTACATGATAATTCACAGAATATTTACGATGCTTATGTCGCAACACATGTTTGCTCGATGTTGATAAATAACGTCTCGTGGTGACAACCGACAGTACACATATTCCTAACTGTAGCTGACTCTAACGATTGTAGAACACTTCACAAGCCTAGGTTCAGTGTGCGAAGACATCCGAGTCGCAGCCAATGTGTTTCGAGAGAGAACGTGCGTTGCGTACGAAATAACTTGGTGCTGTTTTGGCACCGTTGAACAGTTGCTGAAGAATCATACGTCATTCCCCGTTCAGCGCCGTGTTTTAGCGCACGGGGCGTCTCTAGCGCCCTCTGGGGAGTTAGTGGGATCCAGCGCATTTCAGGGTCGTTTTCAGAGCACTCACACGAAAACTGACTAAGAAAAGGACGTAACGGGGCTAGCGTGTTTGGTACTTTGCAGTTAAGCATTGGCAGCCCCGTTGGAATCATTCGGGCCAGGCCATGCCCCCATTTCCCGTCTCCTCCCATCCTCCACGCATCGCGACTGCTGGTGCCGGCAGCCATAGAACACAACAGCAACCCAAACGACGACGACACCGACGATTGCAGCATGCGCACCACATGTACAATTAATTGAGCGTCTCAGAGTCAGCAGAGATACTTGTGTCGACATTCGACCTCCCCCACACCTACAAGGCAGCAGCACGACCGCGATACGAAACAAAGCGGCACGGCACGCGGCAACGGGAAAGGCTGGGCGACAAGCAGACAGAGCGTCAGGCGAGAACGGCACACAGCAGCGAGGGGAGCGACTGTGCTCTTCTGCAGATAAGCGGGCCAGGCGTTTCGACAGCGAATTGTCCGTTCTCGATAGGCGTATGCGGTCCGTGGCAGGTCGCATCTTCATTCGCCCACGATCTGTCTCCGCACGCAAAGACCGAAGCGCACTTTGACGTCCTCCTACGACTCTACTTTGCATCTGCCAAGGTGTATCCGGCATCAATTCGTGGCAGTGATCCATCGACGTATTCTTCATGGGCGGTCGTGGCAGCAGCACGCCGCATCGTCTTGTCGCAGCCCGACCCGCGTGCGCTGTACGAACCGTTCTTGCGCGACCTTTGCGCCGCGCGCTCTCCCTGCACATCTCACGTATCCCATACAGTAGGGCTTCGTCATCCTCGCCCACCCATCCGCCATGGCCGCCTTTCTCGAGGACCCGCGGCTGAGGCAGCGGTGGAACCAAATCTCCCACAACGCCGAGACGGTGACGGAAAACGCCGCGGCCGGCATCTGGACGTTCCAGCACGCCTACGTCAACCCGTGCCTGGCCTCCGTCGGCGAGGCCTTTGACTCGTGCACGGCCGTCTGCCTCGGCGACCGCGACGACCGCGCCCGGCGGCAGCGCGAGCGCGCACGCGGCGCGCACCGCAGCCGGGCCGAGTACAGTTTTGATTTCTACGACGACTGGTACGACGACTACAACGACGACTACGACGGGCTCGGCGGCGCCGGGGCGAGCGACATGGACGACGAGCGGGCCGGAGGAGGAGGAGGCGGAGGCGGGGGAGCTGGCGCGTCGGGTGCGGGCACGATCAGCAGCCTGTTTGGCCGTGGGTTCTTTGGCAGTTGGCGCGGCAGCCGCTCCGAGCACTGGGACCGGCTCTTGGCCGGGTCGGGCTCCATACGAAACCGGCCCCACCTGGATGGCGACGGCGACGGCGACGCGGCAGGTGACGTCGAGGGCGCCATGGCAGCATCCCACGGTGCTGGCGGCGGCGGCGGCGGCGAGATTGTGGACCAGCCACGGCGGGGCCGCGGCATGAGCTACACCACACGCGCGGCGTGGCGCAAGCCGCCCGGCGGCGACGACCCGACCGTCATCCCGAGCTCAGCACCACTGGGCTTCCTGAGCCGGCTGCCGTGGAAGATCGGCGGCACATTACGATACAAGCCGAGCGCGGCCAACCTGCGCGAGCACCCCAACAGCGGCGGCCCCAGCCGCGACAGCCTCCGGAACGCAATGGGCGGGCGGCGGATGGGCGGCGGGGCCGACATGATGCGCGCCCGAGACGAAAACGAGCCACTCCTGGGCGGCCATGGCGACGACTACGACTACCACCAAGACGGCACCGGGTCACGGCATGGGCCGTTGCCATGGCAGAACGAGCTGGCGGCGGCGGACGCATCAAGGCAGTATGGAACGGCCATGTCGTCTGTCCCCGCAGCGGACGGCCGGCCAGCAACAGCAGGTGGTGGACGTGGACGTGGGCCGGGTGCCGGGTCTCTGGCCTACAACGACGACGGCACGCCCGCGACGCGGCAACGCAGCGGAACGACCAGCTCGGGCGACACGTCCAATTCCATCCGGTCGCGTGGCGACCTGTTCCCGAGCGACGAGGAGGACGACGAGGACGCCGTGCCGCTGGACGACGAGTTTGCCGTGGCACTCAACCACGTCGACGACCGCAGCAGCGGACGCACGCGCTTCAGCAGCAGCAGCAGCCTCGCCGCAGCGGCGGCGGCGGTGGAGCAGCGCAAGGGCAAGACGCGCGCCGACACGGGCGCCTCGGCAACCCCGGCAGCCGGGGGTCCGGTGCTTGTCCCCGCAGCAAAGGGCGTGCTCAGCCGCAGCGTCTCGCGCACGACCATGGACAGCATGGCCGCCGGGTCGTCGCCGCGGTCGCCGCCGTCGTCCATCACCAAGCGTCTCGGCAGCAGCGCGTCGCTGCCCCTCGGCGGCGACGCCTTGGACGAGCGTGTCGATGAAGAGGCGGACGCCACCCCAGCGGTCGAACTGACGGCCGAACAGCTCCGGGCAGAAGACGAGCGAGCCGCGCACGAAGAGGACGAGGCGATTGCGATGCGCCGCGAAGCAGCCGCGCGTCTGGCGCGCGAGCGTGGACTGGCCGGGGCCGAGACGGCCGCGGCGGCGACAGCCGACACGGTTTCCGATAGGATTTCGGGCCAGCCCACAGACAAGGCCACGGACAGGCCTGCGCCAACAGCAACAACACCGGTGGACGGCAACACCACGTCTGGACCGACAGCGACGCCTGCCGTCTCGCAAAAGGTGCGCGAAGGGGGGTTTGTCCCGGCCCGATTGCCGCGCTTCGATTAGACGAGGCGTACGCGGTAGAGCCGCGCACTCCGCACATCACACCAACGCCTCGGCGGCTTGTTGCGCGCAATGTGTCACTTCGCTGTACTATACTCACTTTTGTTTCTTTACACCTTGCGCCCTTTTATCTTTCTCGTTCCCTTTTCCTCCTCTTTCTCCATCTTTATTTCATGTCTACAGTATATACCTAGACGAGAGGGCCCCGACTCTCGAGCGAGCGACCCTCTCCCGCGACGAAGGAATGACATTGTATTTTATCGATTTTATAGGCGTTGACGCCGGACCTGCGGCGGACTTCACTCTCTGCTTGCAATAAAAAGTAACGATGCGTATGAATGCAGCCATTGGCAATGTCAGTCACACAGCTGTGGCCTCAAGTGGACATGGCCAATGAAGCCGCGAGCCGTTACCGCTCGATGTCGTATGTCGTAGTTTCGCTGCTCTCTCTGAGTGCCCACGAGTGCTGTCGTCGATCATATCCTGCTCCGACAACTTGTTATTTGGTGTCGTATTTGTGGACTATCCTGACTGCACTATCTACACTATCTACGCTGTTGACAGTCAATTGCACAGGCTGCTGTTGCTGCCCTCGGCGCCTTCCCGTTGTGCCTCGGCATGTTTTGTTCGGCAGGCGCTAGCGTCGCAGCTTCCCCAGTTTGGCCGCGGATCCCCGCAAAGCCCCAAATGGCAGTTGCGGCGATTTGCAGACACCGTCCGGGGCTTGACTTACAGCTATATGCTAACATGGCTTCATCTTTGTCGTTTTTACTATTCACCATTTCACGCTCTCTGCCCAGTCTCCCCCCGATTTCTCTCCTTTATTCCGTCCCCCATCTTTCTTTCCCATCCTCACACTCTCCTACTCGCCCACCCCCCTCCCATATCCACAATGGCGCCTCTCTCGACACCCCTAACCAAGCTTCTCGGCATCCAGCACCCGGTCGTCCTCGCCGGCATGGCCCGCGTCTCTGGCGGCTCCTTGGCCGCGGCCGTCAGCAACGCCGGCGGCCTCGGCGTCGTCGGCGGCTTCCGCCTGACGCCCCAGCAGCTGCGTGACGTCGTGGCCGAGCTCAAGGCCGAGCTCGCCCGGCCCGACCTGCCCTTTGGCATCGACCTGGCGCTGCCCCAGGTCGGCAACGGCGCCCGCGCCACCAACTACGACTACACCGACGGCAAGCTCGACGAGCTGATTGACATTGTCATCCACGAGGGCGCCAAGCTGTTTGTCAGCGCCGTCGGCGTGCCGCCCGCCTACGTCATCGACCGCCTGCACCGCCACGGCATCCTGGTCATGAACATGGTCGGCCACCCCAAGCACGCGGCCAAGGCGCTGGCGCGCGGCGTCGACATGGTGTGCGCGCAGGGCACCGAGGGCGGCGGCCACACGGGGCCCGTCGCCGGCACGGTGCTGATCCCGGCCGTCGTGGACGTGGCGCAGCTCGTGGCCGAGGAGCGGCGCCGCGCCACGGGCCAGACAAACTTTTTGCTGGCGGAGCCGCTCGTGGTGGCCGCCGGCGGCATCGCGGACGGCCGCGGGCTGGCGGCGGCGCTGATGCAGGGCGCGGCGGGCGTCTGGGTGGGCACGCGCTTTGTGGCGTGCCAGGAGGCCAACTGCAGCGAGGCGCACAAGCAGGCCGTGGTGACGTGCGACACGGACGACACGGACATTACGCTGGTGCTGACGGGCCGCCCGCTGCGCACCAAGCTCAACCCCTACATTCGCAAGTGGCACGAGCAGCCGCAGAAGATCCGCGACCTCTGCAGCCAGGGCATCATCCCCTTTGAGCACGACCTCGAGAGCCACGGCCGCGAGGGCCATGTCGGCGACGACGTCACGTTTGACAGCGACGAGGACGAGGTGGAGATGCCGTACCTGATGGGCCAGGTCGCCGGCAACATCAAAAAGGTGCAGCCGGCCAAGGAGATTGTCGACGAGATGGTGGCCGGTGCCGTCGTGGCCCTGCAGCGCGGCCAAACCTACATGGGGAAGCTGTAAGCATATGAAGAAGGGAGGATGGATGGATCTGATTTGTATATACGCCCGCGACCGTTCATTGGTACATGGAAATGAAACTGCAAGAAAGGAGAATGCCCAAAACGCCGATGCCGTCTATGTCTTTTGTTCTTTCGTCTCAGCTCTCTTGTATGTATGGTATGTGGTATATGGTGTTTGGTGTATGGTATATGGAGGGACGCACGCCCACGTCACTCTACTGCTTGCCCATCTCGGCCGCGTCGCCCTCGGCCAGCCGCTTCATCATGTTTCCGTGGATCTGCTGCCAGCCGCCCTCGCACAGGCCCTTGACGGTGCCGACCAGCAGCCGCGAGCAGTAGATGACAATCTCCTCGACGAGCACCAGCTTCGTCTCGGATGCGCTGTCAGACGCGTCGCCGCCACCTTCCGTCTCCGCCACCGTCCACGTCGTGTCCATCACAATCGACATGGGGCTGCGGATCCGCACAAACACGCCCGACGGCATGTCCGTCATCTCGTACGTGCTGACCACCTTGGAGTCCCACAGCCCCGCCGGCAGCGTCTGCACGACGTCCGTCACGCGGTAGACGCCAAACCGCCGGCCGTCCTTTTCCCGGGGCGACGATGCCAGCACCGCCCGCACATCCTCCGGCAACGGGTGCTCCGACTTGGCGTGCGATGCCAGGGCCGTCTCGGCCAGCTGGGCCGCCTCGTCGTCGGCGACCGTCGCGCAGTCGACGCTGTGGGGTCCGCACTGGATAAACGCGCGGTGGTCCTGCAGCATCGCCTTGACGGCCGTCGTCTTGTCGGTCCCCGCCGGCAACTGCGACGTGTGGCGGAGGGTCGCTGTGGTGTTGAAGACTGGGGCGCGAGGGTTAGCTAACGAAAGTCGGGGAGGATGAAGCTCAACGGACTGGACTTACAAGACATGGTGTAGACTCGCGTATTGATGAGTGTAAAATAAAGGAAACAAACGAGATGCGGGGATTCTAATGGGTGCTCTTGCACAGATGGAGAATGACAAAGAAGAGAAGAAGAGAGGAAGAGAAGAAGAATAGACAACTGGCAGACGACGTCAGAAGAGATGGAGAGTTCTGACACAGTCCGGGTGTCAGGGCAAAAGGCAGGAACTGATACCAAGGGGGAGAGGAGGGGTCCCAAGAGTGAACCAGGAAGGCGGGACCGGGCACACGGTTCCACTACGGGCACTTGCTGTGCCTGGAATACCCTGGCCCGTTTTGGCATAACGTGTCCCGGGTAGCTCCTGCCCGCCCCTGGCTAGGGTGTCGCTGTTTGTCCCTCGAATACAGCGACCTGGCTCGACGGGAAGGTGCGCAGTCGGTGTTGTCCGATTGGCTACAACTAGGGAAGGTACGATCAACGACATTGCCAGAGGAGAGGCAAGATAATTTTCAGGGAAAGAAGCACATCCACACGGTCTTCTACTGCCCGTTTCGGTAATGTACTGAGCACTTACACAAGGCAGGAGCCAAAGGCAACAGAATAGGGGTATATTTTCTCTCTCGCGGAAAGTGATGAACAGCCACTTTAGCCAGAGGAAAGGTTAATGGTTAATAATGAGACGACAAAGGTAACGTGGTAAGTCGGCCGTGAATCTGCTACGCAGTACTAATTATACAGACAGGATGAAAAGAAAGGAAGGCGAATATGGAAACAAAAGCGAAAAAGGCAGGCAAAGAAAAGAAGACATCATGTCGTTATCCGATCCAAGTCCATCGCCATCTCCTCTCCTCGTCACCTCCGTGTCCTCGCTGGCGGCGGCGGGAGGAATTCGGTCTGTACCAGCTCCGTCTGCGTGTGCGGTGACCGCGCATGCGACGGCTTGCCGCTGCCCAGGGGCAGCTTGGCTTTGGTGTGCGGCGACCGCCCATGCGGCGACTTGTTGTGCTGTCGCACCGACGAGGCGGCCGACGACACCGGCTGGAAGCCTCCACCGGGCGGGTGCATGGACGTGGCCGACACGTCGCCTGCACCACCAGCCGACTGCGGTTCCCGGTCCGAGAACGTTTGCCGCGCGGCCATGGTGGCCGCGCCGAGACCGTTGGAGGACGCCAGCGAAGCGACGGACACGACGGACACGGCGGACGCCGGCTCGCGCTCGCCACGGTAGAACCCCACGGCCGATGCCGGCATGGACGTTGTTGCCGAGTTTTGTAGGTGTTGTTGCTGCAGCTGCTGCTGCTGGTACTGCTGCGCCGCGGACACCATGGCGGACCAGCCCTGGTAGACGCCGCGCTGGCCGGCAGCAGCAGCCATGTTGGTGTTGGTGTAGGCCGTCGGCGACGGGCCAGCAGCGCCATGGGCTGGGGCATACACGCTCGGGTTGTAGACGCTGTGACCTGTGGGCGGCGAGGGCAGTTGGCCCGTCAGAGACGTGGACGACAGCAGTGCTGTCGACGACGTCGGCGTGTTGTACGAGGGCGACGAGTTCGTGCCCAGATAGGGCGAGAAGGATGTCTTGAGCTGGTGCAGCCGGGGCGGGGGTGACTGCGATACCGCCGCAGCGGCTTCGGCGTAGCCCTTCTTGTCAAAGTCGATCGAGTGGACGCGCATGCCAATGTTTCCGATGTTTCCGATGTTTCCGATGCCGTCCGCACCGTTGCCAGTACGGGCTGCAGGCGCGGGCGACGGGAACGGCGACTCGACAATGGCCGACAGGTGGCCGCTGCTGCCACCGCTGCCAAGGCTATTCGTGGTGGACATGGTGGCGGCGGTGGAATGGGATGCGGCGGCAGCATTAATGGCAGCGTGGATGGCGGCGCTGCTCACTGCCTGGGGTTTTTGGTGCTTTCTGCGCGAGGCGGCCTGTACCTGCTGCTGCAGCTGCTGCTCTTGCAGTGCCACGCCCATCTCGACGCTGCCGGTACTGCTGCTGCGGCTGTGTCCGCCGCCGCCACGGTTGGAAGGAACGGTGGCAGCAGGAGGAGCGGACTCGGCGACGGACTCAGCGACGGCCTTGCGGTCGACCATGTCGCCAAGACTCGTGGCGCTCGCGCGACACTGGAAGCTGAGCGGCGACGTGATCACCTCGCTGGACGGAAAGCGAGAGGACCAAGCGTTGGGGTCCGCGGCAGACGCTGGCGAGCCACGCACACTGGCACCGCCCGTCGGAACCGACACAAACCCGCCGAGGCCACTGCCTCGGATGCCACCGCTGGGCACGAAACCACTACTGCCCCCGCCGCCACTGCCCCCGCCTTCACCAAAACCGCCCTCGGCTCCGTAAAAGCCGTCCTGCTCCTTGTTCTTGCCAAAGATGCTCTTGGAGCCGGCCGCACCACGGCGAGCCGAGCCGCGGCGCTTGCGGTAGCACACAAACGCAAACCCACCCATCGCAGCAACGGCCAGCAGAGCCACGACAACAATGACAGCAATCGTGGTGGTGGCGACATGGCGGCCGTCCGTGCCCGCGCCCGCGCCCGACGCGTTCGAACCAGAGCCGCTCGTCTGGGTCGGTGCCACGATCGAAATGGTCGTGGCCGACGCAAACACCGATCCGCTGAGCCCGACCGCCTCGTCCGGCGGCAGCTGCTGCAGGCAGCCCGCCTCGAGGGCAATGAGCGAGTTGGCCACAATGTTCTGGTCGCCGCTGCCGCCGACGCACGCCGTGCAGCCCTTGAACTGGCTGCTCGCCAGGGTCGTGCCGTTGGCCGTGCAGTAGCCAAACTCGGTGCGGTTGCCCATGCGGGGGACCCCGTCGTAGAGGCTGCCCTGCAGGGGCCCGCAGGCCGTCGACGTCTGGCACGGGCTGGAGCCAATGGCGTCGCCGGCGTCCGGGTAGCCAAAGATGCAGTAGTCGACGTTGTACCGCAGGTTGTAAAAGAACCAGGCCTGGTCGCTCTCGGCGCCCTGGGAGAAGGTGCTGTTCTGCAGGCAGCCCATGCAGGCCGTCCACTTTTTGCCGGCGCTTTTGCTGGCAAAATCGGCGTCGTTGCAGACAATGTCGGCATTGACGGTGTTGGACGAGTTGGGGTCCGAGGTGTCGAGCCCGGCGCTGTCGATGCAGAGCGAGGCACAGGGCGAGTTGGGCGTGACCTGGATGGCCAAGGCGGCGGTGGAAAAGAGGCCGAGAGACAAGACGGCCGCAACCACGGCCGTGGCCAAGCGGCCCGACTGGCGTATCGGAGACATTTGAAGGTCTATGTAGGAATGAAAAAAAAGAGTAAAAAAAGAGATGAGTGTCGTGTCCGTGAGGTCGTCTCTAAAACGAAATAACTTATAAAAGAGTCGAGACCATACTAAGTGAGAATGGGATGAAGACAAGAAGACAAAGAGTGAATAAGAATTAGGAAAGTGTATACTGTCGTGTGCTGAAAGTGGTGTTCCACGGCCGACTGCCTGCAGAAGCCAGGAAGTTGAATGTATATATTATGGAGTGAAAAGAGAGAAAGGCGAAAGCAGGCCAGCTTGCTTTCGAGAGACACACAAAGAAAAAAGACAGGAACGGTATGAAGACGCTGGACCACAAGGAAGGGAAACGAAGCCGAAGAAGGTCAGGCAAGCCCAGTATATAGGACGAGGTGGAAGGCCACGACATATCAATACATTGACAAGCGGCCAACAGACTCGCCCCGAGACTAATACGATTACGGCACCCACCCATCGTTTGCTGTGTTCGTAGTCCACTTTGCATCTCATCACCGCGAAAAAGGGACGTGCATGGAGTGTGATTTTCTCAGACGAATGGGCCAAACGACAGCGGCAAACGAGAATGCAAAAAGAAAATAAAAATATGCGGCATTCGATGGCAGCAGTCCATGCAGCCGCCCTTGGGAACGAGGCACCTGCAGGATGGATTGCTACGACGGGTCTAGCGTGGGATGGACACGAGCACGCTATTCTGCAAGTGTCCAGATGTGATGGGGGATGGGGATGGGGATGGGAAACCAGAAAAGGAGGAATCCATATGGGGAAAAGGAAATATCGGCACAGACGACATTGAGGAAAAGTGCAATGATCTAGGCCCACCGGCGGACGTCTTTGTGGGTTCGACTGGCATTGGCGGCACAACGACAAGAAAGCAGAGCTTCCTGCACCCGATATTGTTCCGATGGCCGGGTTGAGGGGGGAGAGCGAGAAACACAGACGTGAGAGGGATGAACGAGGCCAGTCTGGCCGTCCTTTCTCTCTTCGTCAACTTTCAGTGTGCTTCACAGACCATAAAAGGCCAATCAAAAAAGGCCAATCGCAATCACAGGTGAGGGCCACCGTTCAGAAATCAGAATGCGCCATACACAATAGCTCGCAGACTGGCCGGCGCTTAAAAGGAAAACTGAAGGGAGATTCAAGCACAGTCGTATTAGCGAGTTGGCGGGGACGGGATGGCAGGGGTTCCAGAAGATCTCATAGGCTGGTTTGGTCGACCAGGGTGGTATTGGTGGGATATGCAAGTCGACGCAATGTTTTCTGTGATATGCGAAAGAAGGAAAGAAGGGAAAATAAGAAAGAGAAACAAAAGAAAGAGGGCGAGAAGGGAAAAGAAATAAATTGCGGTGATGTCGAACAATTGTGATGACGACTGGATCGTTACCATGCAGCAACGACGACTCGCTTGGTTTGGCAGACCTTGAGGCATTCTGTCACATCCAGTCTTGATGTACGGTTGAATTAAATTCATGAATATGTAGAGCAAACAAGTAATTACAACGTACAGAGCATCCTCTCTACGAAATCCATGCGGTGCTAAGGAGCCATGCGGCCATTGCATCGGGTCTCCTGTTGTCCAAACCATCTGACAGACAGTGCATCTCGTCAGACCACTTTCGGACACGCTTTCAATATTGCAATCCTTCCTCATCTCTCTTCTTTACTATTTCGTCTCGTCTCTCCACTCTGAGCTCTTTCCAACCCTCCCTCATCAGATTTCTGCATTTATATGTCCACCACCTGCGACCTTCTCTGCGGCCGGCGCGAATCGTGAAGATGCCACTGGGTGGCCTGGCGGGCAGCGGTCGAGACTCTCGTGGGGATCGTGGCCAGCTCATCGACAAAAACGGCCGTCTGTACCTGATTCCAACAGCCTGGTTCTTCTGCCCCTGACATATTGACTCTGCACACTTTGTCGCTTTCAGCCTGCCGGCGCTTCCCAGAGTGAAAGCACCCCACAGGTAAACAATAGACGAAAAGACAAAGTGGTGAGTGAGAGTCAAAGAGGAAGAGGAAAAGCGGCTGCGGAAGACCCTTGTCAGTTGTCGGGCGCTTAACTGGCAAACAATAGGATGGGCAAGAGCCAAAAGCGGGACGATACCGGCGCGGCGGCAGCGCCCATTGGTGTCCGTAGAGACCCACTTTTTCAGTGAGACAGCCATCACAATGAGACACACCTCTCAGTTGAATACAAGCTGTTCGACGACAAGATGGTTGTCGATAGAAAGAATGTAAAAATTGGCAAAACGGTATCTGTATTAACAAATACAAACCTAGCATAAAACCTAGCATCCTAAAGAAACACGCAAGTTGGCAAAACTCGTAAAAACGCCGGGAAAAAACAGCCCAACCCAAAAGCCAGTAGTAAATGGATCGGTAAAAGTACAGAGGTGTATCGTCTCAAGAACGGCCGCGCAAATCATTACAACTCTCCCCTGTCCATGTCGTCGTCCCGGCTGCGGCCACCCATCACGCCCGACCCGTTGTTGCGCGGCCGACCGCCGCTGCGCCGGCCGTGGTTGGCCTGCTGCTCCTGCCACGTGCGCATCTCCGCCTTGGCGTGCCGCTGCGCCTCCTCGACGCGCGGGCGGAACACGTCCATTTCCTCGTTGTCGACGGGCAGCGGCCGGATCTGGCGCTCCATGCCAATGGCCTTTTCAATGGCCAGGAAATGCTGCACGTCGTACTGCGTGACCAGGTTGATGGCGTGGCCCGACTTGCCCGCGCGCGCGGTCCGGCCCACGCGGTGCACATACGTCTTGCTGTCCTGGGGCACGTCGTAGTTGATGACGATGCTGATGCGCGGGATGTCGAGGCCGCGCGCGGCAATGTCGGTGGCGACGAGAATGCCGCGGTCGCCCGACTTGATCTTGTTGAGCGCCGCCAGCCGCGCCGACTGGCTCAGCTTGCCGTTGAGCGGGATCGCGCCAAAGCCGAGGGCGCGCAGCAAAAAGGCCACGCGGTGCGTCTCGTAGACGGTGCGCGTAAACACAATCACCGACCGCCCGCTGTACTCGTTGATCAGATACACCAGCGCCGTGTCCTTTTTCGGATACGGCACCAGGTGCATGCTCTGCTTGAGCGTCGCCACCATCTGCTGGCCGTCGGGCCCCGCCGCGCCGGGCGACGTGGCCGTCACGCGCACGGGGTCGCGCAGGCTGGCGCGCTGCAGGCTCTCGACCTTTTTGGACATGGTCGCCGAGAAGAGCATGGTGCGGCGCTCGCGCGGCAGGTGCTTGAGAATCGTTTCCAGCGTCGGCCCAAAGTCCATGTCCAGCAGCCGGTCCGCCTCGTCAATCACCAGATAGCGCAGGCTCTTGAGCGAGAAGCCCTTGGTCGACTCGAGGTGGTCCAGCAGCCGGCCCGGCGTGGCCACAATGATGTGCGGCCGCTTGCCGAGCGCAATCGTCTGCGGGACCATGTCCATGCCGCCGACAATCACGGCGCACCGCAGCGCGATGCTCGAGAACGCTTCAAAGGTCTGCCCGATCTGCACGGCCAGCTCGCGCGTCGGCGCCATCACAAGGCCGAAGAACGGCCGCGGCTTGTCGAGCAGCGCCTGCAGGATGGGGAGGGCAAACGCGAGCGTCTTGCCGCTGCCCGTCTCGGCCGTGCCGATGACGTCGCGGTTCTGCAGAGCCACGGGCACGGCCTTGGCCTGGATCGGCGTGGGCTTGGAGAACTTGAGCGTTGCGCAGATTTCGCAGAGCACGTCGACGAGGCCCAGCTCCTTGAACGTCGTGGGAAGCTCTTCCTCTGCTGGCGCCTTCTCCTCCGTCGCCTCGCCAACGTCCTTCTCCTCCAGCTCAGCTGCTGCCGTTTCGTCCACCTCGTCCTCACCCTCATCCTCCTCTATCGGCCGTTTTGATTTTGCCTTGGTCTCGGATGTGTCCATCTTGTCCATCTTCTCGGTGTATTCTATGCCGTTGGCCTTCTTCGTCTTTATCTTGGTCGACTTTTTGACTTTCTCGCCGTTTTCGACGTTTTCGCTCGTCGCCGCCTTTACAGCCCTGCTCGCCTTGTCCAGCTTGGCCTTTTTGGCCCGGGGGCCGGCCGCGTGAGAGTCCATATTCAGACCGATGTTTGGTTGCTGCGTTGGATGGAACGTCGTTTGAAAGGGATGTCGAAACGAAGAGGTCAGTGTCGACTGTGGCTGCGAAGTGTGAGATCATGAGACGGGAGGAAAGTATGTAGCTCTCAACGCCAGTCGCACTTGCCCACCATTAACTTTTTTTCTCCTGCCCTTCTTATCGATAACCGCCCGTTTTAAGCCGACCCACAATTCTGCGGTTGTGGGGTGGCGGTGGCGGCTGGCACTGGCTTATCGACCTTATCAGAGACTCTGTCTCCACTTTATTTTTCTGCAGGAAAAAAGTTCGAATTGCTGGGTCGTTCCTGCCACCAGCGACGCCTCGACGCCATCACGACATTTGCATCACGACATTTGCATTGCGGCGATTCACACCTCACTTCACTTACGCACGCCGTTTTGTCATTCTCGCTACAGACCCTCGTCTCAGCCGCACTCGCAAACACTCAAACACACAAACACACGCCCTGTCACAATGGCCGCAACGGCCAGCACCACGCCCGCTGGCCAGCGCGGGCCCAAGCTGCAGGTGGCCGTCGAAAAGGACACGCCGTACACCTTTGATCTCGGCCTCCTCCTCGCCAACGACGCAAATCCGGCGACCATCACGTCCGCCGCCGCCGACAAGGACGCCCACGAGGCCGACCTCGCGGCCGTCGCCCGCGACGGCGCCCAGGCCCTGGTCAACCAGCTGCTCACCACGTGCCGCATCGAGCGCACCACCGCCGACGGCGTCCTCCTCAACTTGCCGCCCGTCGCCACCGCCCTGCCGCGCGAGAAGCCCGTCCCGGAGCCCAAGCCGCCCACCAAGTGGGAGCAGTTTGCGGCGCGCAAAGGCATCAAGCCCAAGACCCGCGAGCAGCGCAAGAACCTGCAGTACAACAAGGAGACCAACGCGTGGGAGCGCAAGTGGGGCTACAAGGGCGCAAACAAGTCGGCGGCCGAGACGGACTGGCTGGTCGAGGTCAAGACGTCCGAGTACGGCAAAGACGCCGAGCTGGCGGCCAAGGGCGCGTCGTACCGCGGCGAGGGCCGGCGCGAGCGGAAAGAGCGCATCAAGCGCAACGAGCGCAAGATGCGGCGGAACCAGGAGCGGGCATCACGGACGTGAGCACAGAGAGGAAAAGCAAAAGGAAAGAAACGGGATGCAAAAAATGCGTTGCTGTCGTGTTTGTACTGGGTTTAGTCATCATCGGTGTCTGGCGTTGGCAGGTTCGATGCACGTGCAAAAGCGGAGGAAGATCGAGACGATTACGAATAAAAGTAGGAGAGAGACGAAGCGGACGAGGTTTGGATTGCATCGTTTGTCTTTGCGTGGCTTTGTTATTTGTTTTCTCCTGGCATTTGTATCATAGTTTAAGGACGGACTCGTCTGGGAATCATCATTATCTTCAAGTCAAACTGGCCATCAGAACAAAGTTATAACCGTGAGATCATATATTTGTTGGTCCAACGAGAGACCCTCTAGAATAGTTTATGTGCATCTAGAATAGTTATGTGTTGTATCAAGATATTGCACCCTCTCTGCTTCAAGCATTTACTTCACCGTCCACCTCCACGGCCAAAGTCGTCATCGTCCTCATCGTCCTCCTCGCTGTCGTCGTTGCTATCGTAATCCTCGTCCTCGTCCTCATCCTCCTCATCTTCCTCATCCTCCTCTTCCTTCTCCTCCTCCTCCTCCTCCTCCTCATCGTCACCCTCCACCACCAGTCCGTAGTCATCGTAGTAGTCCGCCAGCTTCTTGACCTGTGTCTTGTAGCCCAACGCCTGGAACGCCTTCGCGATCGGCGCCTCCAGCAGCGGCGCGCACGTCACTACCACGTTGCTCGTGCCGGGCTGGAACACCGGCATGATGAGTTCCTTCATCACGGCCCGGATCTGGTCGTGCGTCACGTCCCGCGCCGCCGCCATGGTCCGGTGGCTCCATCCTGCGTCCAGCCCGCGCACCACGCCCAGGATGTAGTTCTGCTGCGCGGCCATCGCCATGGTCGCCTGCTCGTCGGCCATCGCCATAACAATGCCGCTGACGGCGCCCTGCACCAGATGCTTGTCCAGCGGCTCGCGGCCCGACGCCAGCGCATCGACCGCATCGCGCGCCGCCGCCAACGCCTTGGACGCATCGGGCGACCGGAACACGCGGAACTGCAGGTAGCCGCCGTTGTTCTCACGGCTAAAGTTGGTTCCGTAGGCCAGGCCGTTGCCGCGGACGGCGTTCCACAGGGGGCCCTCGACCGCCTCGAGATAGCCGATCGCCACGAGCACAGCGGGCAGACGGGGGTCTTGCAGGGAGGAGAGGCCAACCGCCGTCGAGACACTGTACGACGTGTCCAACGTCGTCATGGGCAGGATCACGGTGCCAATGGAGCCCGGCTTCTTGCCCTCCTCGTTGTTCCGCATGTACGGCGGCGTGATGGGCACGGTGTCTCTGGCCGTGTCGAGCCCGTCCGTCAGCACGTCCCAGGCCGACACGACAAGGCCAGCGCCCACCGTCTTGTCGAGCTGGGCCACGTCGGCCGTGACGAGAACGCGCATGTTCTCAAAGGCAAACAGCGACCGCCGCAGCTCCTCAAACCAGCCGACCACCTTGTCGGTCTCCGTCTCGAGCAGCTTCTTGAGGCGGCGCAGGTACACGGCGCGCACGAGCGTGCGGCGGGCCGCCGGGAAGGAGTCGCGCACCGAGTGGATGGCCATCTCGACCTCGGACGACATGAGGCGGCCGTCGCGCTTGTTCTCGGGGATGTCCGCGAGCGACTTGGCCACGCCAGCCGTCAGGCGCACGGGGTCAAAGACCGAGTCGAACATGAGCGTGCGCAGCCAGCGGATGATTGTCGTGTACTTGCTGGGCTCGAGCTGGATCTGCAGCGTGATGCTCTCGGCGTCGCCGACACTGCCGCCCGAGCGGAAGGCGTACGAGACGGTGTCCTTCTCGAGCTCCTTGACAACATCCTCAAAGTCGACGCGCTGGCCGTCGCGCACAATGGGGCTGTTGAAAAAGTTGTCACTGAAGATCCACAAGAGCGGCTTGAGAAGCATGGGCACACCGGCCGTGCTGATGTGGACGGTGATGCGAACGAAATTGGACGGCACGTCCTCAAACTGCAGGAACAGCGGCTGCTGGCCCGGCTTCGACGCATCCAGGATCTTCTGCGGCGCGTTGTCAACGACGCCCAGGCTCTTGGCCCGGCCGGCGCGTGCTGTCTGGGACTCGATGAAGTGGATCGACTCGGTGCCGGGCACCTCCCACTTGTCGAGCACCTCCTCGGGAATGGGCATGTCGTTGGCCTTCTTGGCCTCGTCGAGGCGCTCTTGCAGCTTCTTGAGCCCGTCCACACCAATCTCCTTCTTGCGGTTCGCCACACGCTCCTTCTCCGCCGCCTTGAGCTTCTTGGCCAGGGCCTTGGACGGCTTGCCGAGGATCGAGATGTGCTTGGCGTCGGAAATCCACGTGCGCAAAAAGTCTCTCCACTGCTCCTCGGTCCAGCTGTCGAGAACGTCGTACTCGGTCAGGTCTTTGAGGTCGGCCAGCGTCGAGCCGTCTCGCTTGCCGAACAGGTAGTCGGTGATGATGTTGGATGAGTAGAAGCTCTCGGAGCTCTCAGCGAGGTACTTCACCTGGCGGCGCTCACGGCTCACGCAGTCGCGGATGTACGTCATGTCCAGGGGCCCGTCCGCCACCTCCTTGAGCAGAGAGATGAGGCGCTGCTCCACGAGCGCCAGCTTCTCCGTCGCCACGCCTGTTGGCTGCAGCCAGACGACCGAGTTGGGGCGCGACTCCCACGTGTAGCTGATCGAGCTGGCCAGCGCCTCCTTCTCGACAATGACGTTCTCCAGCACCGAGGCAGACGAACCGCACAGGTAGGCCAGGATCACGTTGAGCGCCGACGTGGCAATCATGTCGTTGCAGTCGGGGCCAAAGTAGCCCACAATGATCTCGCCAATCGACTCGTCGTCCTCGGGGAACTCGACCGTGTCGACAATTGTCTCCGAAATGGCGGGCGGCTGGGCCGAGTCGATCCATGGTCGCTTGAAGGGCGTCGTATCCAGGGCGGGGATGTCGTCCTTGATGCTCTCCTCAAACTCGTCGAGAATGCTGAGCAGGTTGTCCTGGTCCACCTCACCGACAACGATGACAGCCAGGTTGCGGGGTTGGTACATGGCCTTGTGGAACTCACGGATGCGGCTAGCCGTCAGCACCCGCAGCGCCTCAACCATGCCACCCGTCTCGTAGCGGAAACCCACGTTCTCGGGATACATGTGGCGGCGCGCACGCAGGTCCATGAGCTCGCCGCTGTTGGACTCGAGCGCCTGCATCTCGGAGTAGACCACACCGGCATCATGGCCCTTCCCGTTGATGTGGTGGACCTCTGTGAGGCAGGCATCGTCCGTGATGGTGGGGAGCAGCACGTGTTCAAGGTAGACGGGCAGGATCTGTGCGAAGCCCTCCCAGCCGGCGGTCTCGAGGGTGTAGGCCGTGTGGTCGACGGCCGTCCAGGCGTTGGTGCCGGAGTAGGCGCGCGATGCCAGCTTGTCGAGCAGGCCCTTGTATTGGTAGCTGCGAGAGCCCATGAACACGAGATGCTCCAGGGTGTGAGGTGCACCCGAGTCGTCAAAGATCTCCGTCGCCAGGGTGAAGTAGCCGTTGATCTTGGGGCCCTTGCGGTTGGCCACGACCACGGTCATACCGCTGCGCTCGGAGACATATTGTGTGATGGTCGTCGGAGCATAGCTTGTCTGGAAGCTCTGAGTCTTGCGGAAGTGGCTCGCCATGGTCAAAGTGTGACGGGGGGTCTTGAACAAAAACGAGCGGAAAGGAATTCTGCAAACAACAGTCAGCAGGTGGTCGCACGTCACGTTGCCCAATTCCACCGCGATTATGTGCAACCTGCCAGCGCTCGTGAAACGGCGCACACACCCCGTCGGTGGCCACATATGCCGGGAGACCTTGCAGCCCGACATTCGCCTGATTTGCCCTGCCCCTGGCGATCCACGCTCACCCTCCACACTCCATTCTTACCTGTTCCTTGTAATGCCAGCAGACGTGCAGCCTTGCCAGCTATGCGCAGCCGATTGGACACCGCGGCAGACGGGTCTGCGGGCGTGAGACAGAGACAGAGTTTCGGCCGGTCTGGCGTAAGACTGAAGTCAGCAAGTGTTCGTCGTATAGCCATACAGCCAGTGGCAAAACAAAAAGGTTGTTTGTGACAGAATCCTTTGCCCTCTGTCCTCCCGCTTGTCCGTTCCATCCACTTTATCCACCTCCTCTCGCAATAACACGGCATTGGCACGTTGGTCCTTCCTTGCCTCCAATCCCCCCGATCCCTCTCGTGTATCTTTTCTTCCAGAATTGTCTTTTCTGTCCACCTTCCCCTCCGATTCTGCTGTCAGTTGTCCCCCTCCTCTCATTTTTTCAGATCTCACATTTGGGTGCCGAGAGAGGGAAAGCTGTCGGCAGCGGGCTTGCGGTGAGCTTCGTTCTCAAGGCGGGGTAGGCAAGGAAGCTTTGTCTTGTCGTATTGGGTGCCGTCGTGTCAATCGGCGAGTCAGGCGAGTCAGGGCTGTCCGTCGTGAAGCGGTCGTCAGGTTTCGTCGTTGTAAAGGCGAAGAGGAGACGCTCCTGGAAGATTATGGAGCACGCGGTTTCTATCCTAGGGCGGTCGCGGCTTCCGTTTTGAAGCGGGACCCGTAGTTTCTTAAAGTCGAGATTTTGTTAGCGCCGGTTGCACCTTCCTGGCCGATACGGCCGCCCATAAATAATAAATAATATACGAAATATGGCGGCGGGGTAATGTGTCCATCGCGGTTTCCTCACACTGCACCCTGCCGCATGCGTGCACTCCTTCCCACGTCTCACCTCGTGCCGCCCGCTGTGGTCTTTCCTCGTCTTTGTGTCTTTGTATGATCTTACGTCCGCGACTTCCCTATGAAAACAAGCGTGTTTCTAGACACTCACATACTATTAATGTGGGTCTCTCTACAACAACAGCTTCTTTTGATCTATCACTTATTATTTCGATAATTATATCAGTCACGCATGCAATGTAGAGGAGCAGTGATGTGAGATCGATCGCTTTGTAGTGTGTCTGGTTCTGTATTTGGTTGTTGACACAGCAAGGGAACAAAAGGATATACGTACATGCTATCAAGATGAGACAGAAATGTGATGCACAGACAACAAATGAAGATAACAAAAAAAAAAAAAAAAAAAGAAATGCAAACAAGAGGCACATAAAGTACAAGAAAAATAAAAGAGAAAGCAATAAACACACAACAAACTTCAATGCCCCTTGCCAGAGGACAAAACAAAAACCATGGTGAAAAAAGATGACGGATCCATCTGAGATCCTCGAATATGTCCCTTCCTCCTCCCAGGGGTGTTTTCAAATAGACAAGCCTTTTTTATTCGTCCCATGCCGACGTGCCACTCTTCATGAGCTCGGTCTGTTCCCTATACCAGTCCCGGTCCTTGTCCATGGCATCCGCCATCTCGCGCATCTCCTGGATGATCCGCTCGGCCTCGCTCAGCGTCGAGCTGCTGTAGTTGTTGTAGTTGTTGTTGTTGCTGCTGCTGCCGCTATTGCTGATGTTGTTGTTTGGTGAAGCAGACACGCGCGCCTTTTTGGCGCCAGGCGGCGAAGTCAAGGAAGCGGCCGCAGCGGCGGTAGCGGCAATCGCAGTCGCAGTCGCAGGCCGACGGGCGGCGTTGGACGCAGTCGCACCGATAGTACCGTCCTGGCCATCACCCGACGAGAACATGCGCTTCCGCGACGGGGTCACAGACGTCCGGCGCATCCGTTCTTCGGCATAGCGCCGCGCGCGACTTTCCGCGCTTTCGTCTTCGTCTTCGTCGTCGTCGTTGACCTCGTTGACGTTGTCGGTGTTGTTGGCATCGTCATTGATGGCAAACGGTCGGCCGTCGCCAGTGCCGACCAGTTGCCGCTCGTCCTTCTTGGCCGCAGAGTCCGCATCCTGCCATGTCGGCACCGGCGGCAATCCATAGTTGCCGACACCGGGGAACCGCTTGCCGTCCTGCAGCATGGGCAGGGCCAGCGACTCGTGCAGGTACTGCTTGTTGGGCATCTGCACCATGCCCATGGCCCGCAGGCGCCAGTAGCTCGACTTGACCTTGGAACCACCAGACTGCGACAGTCCGCCGACGCCGCTGCCAGCCACGCTCGTCGAGAACGAGGCATGTGATGACGGCGAAGGGCTCATTGTAGCCGTCGCGGGACGCGCGGTGGACAAAGGGCGAGCACGAATGCCGGGCGACGACCAGCGGTTGGCCTTTTCGATGCCGCCAGCGCCGCTCATGCCGCTGCCCTGTGCGCTGCCGCTGACACTGCTGCCGGTGGTGTTACCGAAGCCAAAATTGTTCTTCTTGCTGTACCGCATAAAGTTTGTCATTTTCTTGGGCGGCGTCGTCGCGTCGGCCGCAGCCGTGAGGTCTGTGCCCGAAGGTACGCGCGTGAAGAAGCTCTTTGCGCGGCTCTTGCCGGGGATGGAGCGGCGGTAGTAGGCAAACTTGGTGCCGTCGGGGCTGAAGCTGCTGCGCACACTGCGGAGACTGTCGCCGCTAATGCTGGCTCCGTCAATGCTGCCGATGCTGCCGATGCTGCCGCGGTGGCGCCTGGTGTACTGCATGTCGCTGCTCCCGTTGCTCGTGGCGCGGCTCGAGAGCAGCTCCTTGGCCCGCGACACGGTGTGGGAGATGCCTTCTTTGATGGACCGAACAGGCAGTCGAGTTCTCCGTGGAGGCTCGTCGCCCTGCTGCAACTGCTGCTGAAGGGGCGAAAGAGCAGCCGAAGCCGCCTGGTGTGGCTCGACAACCGACAAAGACACAGACCGCGCACGGGACGCGTCAGGGCCGCCGTCAAGGCCGTCGACGCCACCGACGCCACCGACGTCACCGACACCACCAACAGATGCCTTGCGCTTCCGCGAAGAAGCACCAAAGTCGCCATAGTAGCCCAGCTCCTCGAGGAATTTGACCTCCTTGCTGCCCATGCGGCGGGCTTCAGCCGCCTTCTCGCGCTCGTCGGCCGCCGCCTTTTCGGCGGCTGCCCGCTGTTCGGCACGCTTGGCAGCGCGGTAGGCCTTGAGCTCGTCACGGGCCTGGCGTGCCCGACGGTCGAGAGCGCGCTCGCGGGCAATCTGGCGCCACCGGTAGAAGAATTTGACGCGGAGGTTGTAGGTCTTGAAGCGCAGGGCCTCGGCCCACGACTTCTCGTCTTCCTCGCGCTTGATGCGCTCTTCCTCGTCGCGCTGGAACTGCTCGTAGGTCTGGCGGACAAGGTGCTCGACAAATGCTTCCTTGAACTCGCCGAGGATACCGTTGTCACCGAGCACAAACCACTTGGTGAAGTTGCCCATTAGGTCTGCTTTGGGAGCAGGCGGGGGAGGAGGAGAAACCGGCTTCTGCGTTGGAGCCTTTGCAGGCTGTGCTGTGGGAGCGAGAGCCGATGTTGCCGGTGTCGTTGCCGACTGGCCCAGAGACGTGGATGGCTTCGTGGTGGCGTCCAGAACGGACGACTTTTCCTCTGCCTTTTTCGCAGCCGAAGCGGTGGGCAGAGGGTTCGATTGGGCAGCGGGCGATGCAGCGGTGGTCGATTTGTTGTCTGCCACGGCGGAGGTCGAGGATGCTGGGAAGAGAGCAGAAAAGGATGTGCTGCTCGCAGGCGGCGGTTGGGACAGAACAGATGCTGCCGGTGCAGACGACGTAGAGGAGACCGCGGTAGGAGGTTGTGAAAATATCGAAGCAGCCGGTGCCGCAGTCGCAGGAGGCTTGCTGGTGTCAAAGATGTTCGACACAGCCTTGGGCGCGCCAGTGGTGAACGAACTGTTCGTCTTTGCTGGCGAAGATGTGGGTGTGGTCGAGAAAGGACTCGTAAAGACAGACGTCGACGCAGCTGGCACGGTGCTGGTTGCGTTCGCCTTGCTGTCGGCTGCGGGAGTTTTCTGGAAGAGAGAAGGTGTGGCAGCCTTCTTGTCGGCACCAGAGTTCAACTGGGAAAATATGCTTGCAGCAGGAGCGGGCGTTGAAGACGAGGCAGTGGGGGCTTGGCTGAAGATGGAGGGAGCTGAAGCGGGTGTAGTAGAGGGGGCAGCCGGGCCCAGAATGCTCGTAGAGGAATTGGTGGCAGGGAATGATGTCGTCGGCTTTGAGACGTTCTGAGTGGGCGCGGTATTCACTTGTGCCTGCGACTGGCTGACAAACAGATCCGAGTCCTTGGTCGCCGTAGGGGCTGTGACCAGATGAGGAGCCTTGCTTGGATCCTCATAGACCGTGTTGTGAAGGGTTTCAGGTAGAGAGCGGCCAGCACGCTTCCGCTCGACGAGGTTTTGCGAGAACGACTGCGCGATGGGCATGCTGCTGATGGTCACCGCCTTGTCCAGCACAAGGTACGCCGTAGTCTTGTCGTCGGAAGAGAACTCGAGCTTGTTCTCGATAACAAAGTCCCAGGCCTCGTCGACCGTGTCGAAGCGCAGCATGTCGTTCAACGCCTGAATGGTCAGGTCCTTGGGACTGTCTCGGGCGCGGGCGTAGGCTCGCGTCATGTTGCGGAGAATGCCGCGACGGACATGCACAAAGTGCATCTCGGCTACGCAGGCCATGGTGTAGGAAATCTGCGGGCTCTCAATGATGCGGAAGAAGGTCGCAAATGCGCCGAGAGCGGTTGTCGTGGGCGTTGTGGGCTTGATAGGACCGCGCCAGTCCCAAATACTCTGCATCGCCTGGGCGAGCGTCATGGCCGTCTGGACGTCGTCCGAGGCGTACCAGAGCTCCATGCCCCATTCGGCCACCTTGTGCTGGAAGTTGGGGTCGTGAGCGTTGAGAAGAATAAAATAGGCGCGGAACTCGCACTCGTTGCGGCAAGTGATGTGGCGGTCCTTGCAGTCATCGTAGGCTTGCAAGAGCGACAAAAGAGCCTTGCTCAGCTGCTCGCGCTCTTGGCGCTGGTCGAACCCTTCAGGGGCAAACCCTTTCTGCGACAGCAGGTGCAGGCTCGTCGCATGGAAGCGTGTGATGGTCTCCAGACAGTAGATCTGCTGGAGCATTTCGTCTTCGGACATGTTGGAGTGAAAGATGAAGTCGCGGCGGATGGCGCGTGTCCGGTCCCACAAGAAATTGTGCACAGCCGGCAGGCGGCTGTCGTCGCCAAGAACGTCGTCAATGAGATGATCGAGCGTGCGCTTGAGCGCCGTGACGGTGCGGACGTCCATGGGCAGAGGCGCCTCCTGGCCGGCCGAGGACCGCGTCAGTGCCTTGACCATGAGCGAGGGCGATGGCCACATGGTGCCGTCAGGGCTCTCGGACTTCTCTGCCATCATGACGTTGTGCTGCTGGATGCGCTCAATCTTCTCAAATTCGGGGCACATTTCGTCGCAGATGCCTTTGAAGTCAATGGCCTCGTCGAGCCGCTTGCGGACCTTTGGGTCGTCAATGAGACCGGCCTTGACCAGAGAGTTGCGCACTTTGTCGCGGTAGTTGCCGTACGAGACCCAAAAGGCCTCCAGGGCGGAAGCATTGGCCGGGTTGCCTGGGTCTGCGGGCCATTGTGGTGGTTTGAGGCGGTCCTTTTGCAGTTGGGCCATGATCTTCTGAGCATAGTCGCTCTGAGGCTCCTTCGGGGCAGCACTGAGAGTGGGTTGTGATGAAAACCGGGTGCTAGAGGTAGCGAGGGAGGGCTTCGGCTTGCCAGAGCCATTCGTCTGTGTCGGCTGCGAAGACACTGGGTCCAAGTTGAAATGGACTGACTTCTTTGCCGTATTCTTTGCTGCTGCCGGATTGGCTGTAGGAGTAGTATGTGTTGTGCCAGAGAATGGCGACACAGATGGTGTGGGTGTGGGGTTGGAGGACGCCATAAATGGGTTTGGTGATGGTTGAGAAGAAGCACCAAAGGTAGTAGGCTGGCCAAACGCAGTCGCTGTGGGAACTGGTTGCCCAAAAGGATTGGATGCGGAAGTCGGCTGGCCGAAGCCAGTCGCTTGAGAGGTTGGCTGACCAAAGCCCGTCGTCGCGGGCGTCTGCTGGAAGCCAGACAGACCAGTGGCAGTCGTGGCGGGCATCTGTGTTTTTCCGAAAGGCGAGGTAGACGCCGGCGCTGGAGTGTTGCCGAACGGCGAAGCGGCTGCAGGTGTCGGTGTGCTTCCAATCGGTGACGCAGCTGCAGGAGCTGGCTGCTGTGATAGTGCGGTAAATGGGTTGGGTGATGTGCCGCGAGAAGAAGGCTGTGTAGTCTGGAATGGCGAGGGAGTAGACGCAGTGGGATTCGCAAAGGGAGATGCCACAGGCTGGGCAGTAGCAGTTCCAAAGGCCGGCGAAGGGTTGGCATTTATGGCAGCTTGGAACGGGTTCGCAGGTGCAGCGGCTGACGATGTTGGCGTCGATGAGACGGCGCTGCCAAAGGCCGGGGCTGTTGGTGCTGGCGACGCGGCCTTGAACGGGTTGCCAGACGGCGCCCCGAATGGGTTGCTGGTCGCCGGTGCTGCAACTCCATTTCCATTTGCGTTCGGGGCGTTGAGTCCTGTGGTGAAACCTGTAGGTTCAGAAAGAGTAAGTAAGTGCATGCGTTCAGTGAGAGCAACAAATCGACGATCCGGGTGTGCTGTGAGAGTTGTGATGAGGTCCGACACGTCATAGAGAGGATCTGGGAGGTCGCCCTGCTTCTTCTTTTGCTGCTTTGGTTTTTTGTGAGGATGACGGAAGCTTTTTGGAAGCTTTAGTTCGGGGAGCTCTGGGAGCTCGGGAAGCTTTGGGAGCTCAGAGATGGACTCGGCAGCCTTGTCCGCGCTGATAGAGAACTGACGAGGAGGGAAAGCCCGGGTCGCTCGCGCCATCTTGACAGTAGGTGTGGCAAACAGGCCAGTGTTGGTAGCCAGGGCTGGCCCGGGAGTCGCCTCCTCCTCGACTGGACACAGCGGCGCTTGGCTCTCGACCTTTGTCAGCGTCGGGGCTGCGTCTGTGTTGTCAACTGCCGGCTGACCAGACTCGGCAGTCTGCAGAGATGCTGACGGGAAAAAGTCCACGGCCCGCATGCGATGCATCTTGCGCGGGCGGACAGCCGATATGTCCAACTTTGCGTTCATAGACTTGGTGATGGTGATGGGGCCGGGTGCGAAGGGTTCAGCAGCTCGCTTGGGAGGACGCTTGGGAGCTGGAGCTGGATCCTCTGCCGGAGTGTGAACCTCTACTGGGGCGGGAGCCTCTGTTTGGGCAGGAGCCTCTGTCGGGGCGGGAAGCTCTACCTCAATGTCGTCCTCTGCTGACTTCACATCCTCAGCGAAAGAAACACGCTTGCGAGGACGGCGAGTGGCCGAGGACTTGCAGTCATCCTCGACAAAGGACTGGTTGCGCTTCTTCGACGTTGGCTGCGTTGTCTGCTCTGGTCCCTCGTCCGAACCGGTCGTGGACGCCTCCGGTGCAAAAGTGACTGCAGGACGGCGCTTGAGAGCCGACTTCAGCTTGAGAATGGAGTTGGGCTTGAGAATCGGCTTCCGGTTCGGCCGGCCCTCCTCAGTAGACAGAATCTTTTCTTTTGCAGGCGGGTCATCATCTGTGATAGGAGAGGGCGCAGTCGCAACTGAAGCAGGGGTTGATGGAGGGGTGAGCTCCGTGCCAGTCGCAGCTAAAGTGGCTGCACCCGTCTTTGTCGGAGTCTCGACGGTGGGAGCCGAGGAAGCGGACGATGCAGGGGTCGACGGCGGGGTGAGAGCTGTGCCAGCTACAGCTGTGTCTCGCTTCTGGGGAGTCTCAGGTGCATCCGGAACAGCTGGGGCCGCCACGGTTGGCGGAGAAGTGGGCGAATGCACAGCTGGCACAACTGGCACGAAAGGTGGAAGAAGGGCTGCAGGCTGTGGAGCTGTGCAGGAGCTGTCCTCCGGCACCTTGGGCTCTGCAGATGCAAGAGAAACACGTTTGCGAGGACGCGCAACCTCAACATCTGGGACTGTCGGAGGAAGAGATATAACAGACGCAACGGGCATGAGAGAAGCCGTCGTCTCTTTGGGAGGTGCACTGGGGCCGGCAATCTTGAGTCCTCCCGGTGCAAATATAACAGCATTTCTCTTGGGTGGGAACTTTGGCTGCGTTTCCTTTCCCTTGTCCTTTGTCGAGTCCGCTTCCTCCTTCTAGGAGGCGGCAGGTTCGACAATGGGAGCCGTGGTAGAGATGGCGGGGATCATGGGGGCAGCGTGAATGGAGGCCATTGAGATCCGGAGGGCACCAGGCGGGAAGGTGACAGCTGCACGCTTGATAGGAGGCTTCACAGGGTTCTCGGCCGCGTGAGTCGGCTTGGCTGGGAGCTTGATCTCAAGACCAGCCATGCTTGTCTCCAGAGAGTCACTGGCGGTGGTTTCGGTCTCCATCGAGTTTGGCTGCTCGTGGGGCGTTTTGGTCTTGTGCTCGCCATCTGCGGCCTGCTTCTCGGTGCTCGTGGTTTTGGTAAGAACGGACGTCGAGCTCGAGTCGGTTCCAGGCGTGGACGGCTGAGCCGCGGTAGAAACTGAGCCAGGTGGCGGAGGTGGTGGTGGCTTTGGAGTCTGTCTCTTCGGCTGAATGAAGCACGAAACAGGGGCCTTCTTGCGACGGGGAGCAACCTTTTTCTCAGCGATGCTTGTCTCCTTCCCTTTGCCTTTGGGATCCGCCATCTTGTTGGCCTTGTCGCTCGGCTGGCCGACACGCAGAAATGGGTTTCCCATGTCCGTCTCCTTTCCTTTGGAGGTCGAAGAAGAGCTCGATCCCGAGAGGGACATCGAAGCAAGGGTCAGAGCCAGCGACGAGGTTGGCTCGGCGAGCGATGTGAGAGCGATGAGAGACTTGGGACGAGCTTTGGCAATTTCCAGGTAGCGATCGGCCTCGGAGTCGGAGGCAGAGAGAGCAGCAGGAGCCGGCACGCTCGTCAGAGGCTGCACAAAGACATTCAGAGAAGCGAATTGATCTGCCAGCTGATCCGCGTCCGAGTCGACAGCCATGGCCTGTGCCGGTGACGAGAAATGAGGAGCCATGATGGTATCGCCAACGGGAGGTTTGGTACTGTTCGGACGCGAGGCCGTGGCCATGGAAAGAGCACCAGTCGGAGGAACAGCGAGCCTTGCCATGCAGAGGTCAAATTTGGATTGGAAATTTGAAGCTCGAAATGGCAGATGTGTTGCAGAAAGAGAAGAGTATAGATAAGAAAAGGTCGAGACGTATTTGAACAACTGGGACGATAGCATATGTTGAGAAGAGGGTGTTGTACAAGCGAAAAGCGAAAGGAAAAGCGAGAATATAAAAGCTCGAAGCAGAGCGCAGGAAATGTAATTTCGAGATTTGTTTCCGCGTGGCAACGAAAATCGGAAAAAGAGAAGAGAAGAACGAGAGGAAAGTCGTTTGACAAAAAAAAATTCTGTATGGTATTGTCGAGCAGCAGAAGAAAAAGCAGGTGGCTGGGCGGGGTAGAGGTCGAGGTCGAAAAACGTGGCCGAAGGCGAGGTGACAGGAAAAGTGAGGAAAAAGTGAGGAAGTTCTGAGCAGAACAATGCGATTTCACGTCAATGCACAATAGAGTCGGAGCTTACCTTGCTGTGCCTGGCCAAACGCGCCCAGCGTCCCGCCCTGTCCTCCAGACATGCTCGAAGCGGCCGCAGCCGGCGGTGCTTGTGGTGCGCTGCCAGAAAAGGAGAAGGCCGTCGTCATCGTCGTCGTCGCAAAGGGACGCGCTTCACGCCCATCGGGAGCTGCTCGGCCGGCGGGAGGTCGCCGCAGCGCGAGCGGGGTTCACGCAGCACACAGAGACAATAGAATCAATCGAATACGGACACTCTACACGTTGCGAGGTCGTGTCGTGGTGGTGCGCGGCGTGGGAAGTCGTGCTGTTGTTTCGTCGGTCGATGTGAGGTTGGTGATGTTTTTGCCCTTTTGTCGCGAACGGCCTAGGTCCACTGTCGTAGGCGCCTGTACTGGCCCAGCATAGCAGGCGCGGCTAGTTCTGCCGGCCTTGACCGCCCCCAAATAGGTACCAGCGGCGGCAAACACGCAGAACGAAGCAGGAACAACCAGCAAACAAAAGTGGGGCATAGAGGCCTGCTTCGAGACTAGCGCCCTGCAGCGCGTGGTCCAAGCTCCTCTATTTACCTGCGGTTGAGGGGACACAATAGCGAAGAAAGGCCACACAATGAAGACTTCCTCCATTCGCCTCCTTTTACTTGTTGATATCAAGAGGACAAAGAACAGATCGAACACGCTGACACCCCCGTCGTTTTCAGCCTTCGATAGGACGCTTCGTCATGTATCCTGACAATTCTCATCATAGCGCTATCACGTGAACAGCGGTCACTTGAAGACTCGACGATCCGCCGACGGAGCATCACAACGCACGAAAGGTCACAAACCTGCTCACTTCTCCTTTGCAGCGGCCTGCCAAGTGGTTTTTATATGTTGTCATTCATTGGGTCATTACAATTAACTACAAAGCACTTTTCTAGTATCCCTCAAGCCAAATCCAGGCAGATACAGCAAACGAAAAAAATAAAAATAAAAAACGCCGTCCAGATGTTTCCAATGATTCCGTGCCCCTTTTTCGGCCTCGACACAATGCCTACTTTTTCCGCGTAGACAGCCGAGCCGGACCCAGTCCTCGCCGGATTTCGTCCAGCTGCTCCAGGCCTGTCTGCTGCCGGCCCTTCTTGATTGCCCGCTTGCCCTGCATCGAGTAGCCGCCCAGAAACTCGTCCATAATCCCATTGAAGTCGTTGCGCAGCGGGCCCTGCACGCTCGACGTGGTGGAGAACGCCGACACCGACTTCATGTCGTCCCCGAACCCGTCCTCGTCAAACGCGTCGTTGTTGTACAGCTCGTCGATCTTGTCGAAACGCGCGTCCAGCAGGCTCATCTGCTCCGTGCGCACCAGCGACGACGACGTCATCGAGAAGCCCGACTGCTCCGTCAGCGCGCCCTTGCGCTTCTTTTTGCGGCCACCGGCCGTGTTGGTCGTCCAGATGGACGACTGCACGTCCGACATGGCCGGTGTGATCTTCTTCTTGGGCGCGCCCGAAGCGGCCGTTGTCGACTGGTCCTTCTTGAACTTCTTAAAGTCCTCCATCCAGTCGTCGGCGCCCTCGGTCTCGGGCGGCGGTGCAGCCGCTGCGCCAGACAGGTCGACCAGCTCCGGCACTGTGTCGCGTGCCTCGTCGTCTGCGTCGTCTGCGTCGCCCTGAGCAGCACCGTTGCCGGTCGTGGTGCTGTCCTCAAACCCCTGGCGCGGCTGCACGGGCTTCTCGGTGGCGTCCGACTCCCAGCCGTCGTCGTCGTCGTCGTACTGGTCTTCAAACTCGTTCTGGTCCAGCTCCTCGCCGTCCTTGGCAAGCTGCTGGAAGAGGTCGTCGTTGCTCTCGTCGTCGTCCACGTACGCCTCGTCCTCGAGCGCCTCGAGCACCTCGCGCAGGCGCGGGTCCAGGTCCGGCTGGAAGCCGGCAATCGCGTCCGGCACATCCTGCTGGTTCTGGTACGTCACGCGCTGCAGCGCCTTGGCCGGCAAGATGTCCGCGTCCAGCAGTTCCTCGGACCGGTGCTGCAGGTCCATCTGCTGTAGGGCGTCGGCCAGCGACGTCTTTTGCCGGCTCTTGTGGGCGGCGTTGAGCGACGCCGTCGACTCGACAAACACGGCCTCGCCGCCGCCCTGGCCGATCTCGCGCAGGTGCTGCATGTAGTCGTACGAGGAGTCGTCAAAGAACACGCCAAAGTTGGCCGCCTCGCCCTCGTTGTCGCGGATGTCGTCGACGTCAGATCCGAGCTGCGACGCAAGGTCGTCGAGCCGCCGGGACTTGACGCTGGTGCCGGTCGTCGAACTGCCGCCGGCGTTGGGTGCCTGGGTCGGGTTCAGCACCATGGCCGGGGCCGACTCGTCGTGGATGCGCGGGTCATTCTGCGGACGATGGACGAGCGTGAAGTGCGCCGCCGACTTTTTGTCACTAGACGAGAAGACACGTCAGTACATGGCCACGAACATGCGACAAGTGTCACACCGTTCAGAGGAGTCGGTATCGATGTGGGGGGTCCCAGAGCGGGCAGCGAACACTTACATCCACTTGCGTCGAGGCATGACTGCGGTTTAGCCTGTGTGACTATATGTATGTGGGTTGCCGGACGTCGCGTGTGGGGATCGGACTCGTAGTCAAGTTTTCAGAATCGCGTTTGGTAAATTCAAGGCTTTCGTTAATATGGATGTCGTCCAAGACGGTGCTGTGGAATGGTGATGTCGAGAAGTTTGACTATATTCAGGCTGCGCTACCACCAAAAAAAAATGTATGGCCGTGGCGTTGGAGACCAGCAAAAGTTGGGTCCACTTTAATTTTCTTTATCTTATCGCGCTCATTCTGATTCATATTTGGCGGGGTGGGCGCAGCAGGGCAGTGACGACTGTGAAAAACCAGTCACACCAGCACCAACAAAGCGCCAAGTTGGGAAAAAATCGCCCCTCCCCGCTATTAATCAGCCTTTGCACGGCAAGAGCGACCTATTTGCAGGAGGAAGGTGAAGATTTCAGAGGGCGAAACAAAACATAGGCCTCCAGCATTTACTTTTTTACGATCTATTTTGCGTCGCAGTATATAGTTTCGACGCTGCCGCGATACTGTCGAGAGATTGGCATTCTTTTGTCCAATACCAACTTTATCGACAGAATATCTCTGTACCGGCATTGACTGCATCGACAGCACACGACACTCCTCCACCAAGTCGCGAACGACCCAAACGAAGCCTCTTCACAAAAGTTACACAACAAGAAGCCAAGACACAGCAACCCGTCACGATGGGTATGCCCAAGTCGAAAAAGCAGGTCGGTCTCGGCAATGCGCTGATGAACGACCGGTTCGGCAACGGAAAGGGAAAAGACCAGTACCGCACGGGTATCACACGCAAGAACCATGCGACTGGTGAAGATGTATGTTGGGCATCACCATGTATTCGGTTTCGTTGGCAACAGTCCTCTAACACTATTATAGTACATTACAAACGACCGCGCCGATGCGGCCTGGGTCAAGATGCGCTCGATTACGGAGCAGGGCGCCATTGAGGAGTTCCTGTCCACGGCCGCCTACGCCGACACCAACTTCCGCGCCGTCAAGATGAACAACTCGCAGATCATCCACACGGACCAGAAGAACCCCTACCTGCTGACGGACGCCGAAGAGGGCCGGCGGCTCAAGTTGCACAGCCAGAACCGCGAGCGTCTGACGGTGCCGCGTCGCCCGCATTGGGACGCAAGCATGACGGCGGCCGAGCTCGACAAGGCCGAGCGTGAGAGTTTCCTGGTGTGGCGCCGTGGCCTCGCCGAACTGCAGCAGAACGCGGACCTGTTGATGACGCCGTTTGAGCGGAATTTGGAGGTCTGGCGCCAGCTGTGGCGTGTCATCGAGCGGTCCGACCTGGTCGTGCAGATTGTGGACGCCCGCAACCCGCTCGTGTTCCGGTCCGAGGACCTCGAAGACTACGTCAAGGCTGTCGACCCGGCCAAGCAGAACCTGCTGCTGATCAACAAGGCGGACATGATGACAGACCGGCAACGGCGGGCGTGGGCATCGCATCTGACAGAGAACAAGATTGCGTACAAGTTCTTCTCGGCACACATGGCCAAGGAGCAGAACGAGCTTCGCCAGGCCGAGGAGGAGGAGGAGGAGCGATGGCAGGCGGCCGGTGGCGGGTCCGCAAAGCCGCCGGCCGCAGCACCCGAAAAGGAGGAGGACGAGGAGGAAGACGAAGACGAGAGCGAGGACGACAAGGAGGCAAGCCAGGACAACAATGGTGGCCTCGACACGCGTATCCTGTCCGTGGACGAGCTGGAGGCTCTGTTCCTGAAACACGCCCCGAAAACGGATGATCCCACGCGCAAGCTCAAGGTCGGCCTCGTCGGCTACCCCAACGTCGGCAAGTCGTCCACCATCAACGCACTGATTGGCGCCAAGAAGGTATCTGTGTCCTCGACGCCCGGCAAGACGAAGCACTTCCAGACGATCGAGCTAAGCCCCCGCGTCACGCTCTGTGATTGCCCCGGTCTCGTGTTTCCCAACTTTGCTACCACCAAAGCCGACCTTGTCTGCAACGGCATTCTGCCGATTGACCAGCTGCGCGAGTTCACGGGCCCTGCGCAGCTCGTCACTGCGCGCATTCCCAAGGCGTTCCTCGAGGCCGTGTACGGCATTCACATTCGCACACAGAACGTGAGCGAGGGCGGCACCGGTACCCCGACGGCCGAGGAGCTGCTGTCTGCGTACGCCCGCGCTCGCGGTTTCACGCGGACCGGCCAGGGCCAGCCCGACGAGTCGCGTGCGGCTCGGTACATTCTCAAGGACTACGTCAACGGCAAGCTATTGTTTGTGGCACCGCCTCCGGGCCACGGTATCGACCCTGCGGACTTCAACCACGAGCTGTACGACCACAAGCACCTGCCCGAGAAGCGGCAGATTGCCATGGCGGCAGCGGCGGCGGCCGATACCGAATCCAGAACGAGCTCCAAGTCCAAGGCCTCTGTCGTGCCAAGCTTGAAGCGTCCTTCCAAGAAGGCGGCGAAGAGGGCTGGCCCGAACGCCTGGGAGCTGGAGGAGGAGGAGGAGGACTCGAGCGACATCACGTCGGACGAGGACGAAGACGAGGACGAGGACGGAGACGAGGAGGACGAGAGTGAAGGGGACGAGGCCACCGACGGCGAGCCGATGGACGACGTGGTGATGACGCTCCCCGTGCGCGAGAAGCAGAGCACCAAGTCCCGCGACCTCGACAAGGCGTTTTTCCGCGAGAGCGCGACCGGCAACCGCGGCGTTGTGGCGCGGCCGTTTAGCTATAAATACACGGAACAGGGCCAGGCCGAGCAGGCCACGCTGGCCGCACAGGGCGGTGCGACGCTCAGCGGCAAGAAACTGACGGGGCGCAAGGCGCGGACAATGGACGCGCTGGCCAAGGGGCTGGATGCGGAAGATGCGCGGGCGGCGGCCAAGATCGCGGCAGACAGCAAGAAGCACTTCAAGGGCGGTCAACGGGGCAAGGGCAAGAAGAAGATGCCAAGCAATGCCATTGAAGCATGGGGCGAGGATCGGTAAAACAAAGCTGCGCAGCTACTGTTTGGTTCGCAATCTGCGTAGCTGGACTTTCACATTTATATTTCGTGCATATTGGCATATTACTGTTTCGCCCGGCGTTGCGTATTTATTTTAATTATCTCTGTTAACGAAATCAAATGTCAATGATTGGCATGCGAAATATTACATATGGAGAGACATATAAAATATAGACTTTTTGAAAATAAATAACAAGTAATCGTCTACATAAAGAATTTTTAGTAAAAAAAAGATACAAAACACGACTGAGAAATATTGATTTGATACCAGATTGTCTGACCTGTTTGGCGTTTTGTTTACACACACGCTGGCTCTCGACATGGCCGACCACTCGTGTGTGCGCCCCTGCGTGGTGCAGGAGAAGGCTGCGTCTATGGCCCAAGTCGCGGCGCTTGTTGTGAGGCCATTAACAGAGTACTGAGGAGCATTTAGCAGGGATTCGTTCTGTTGTGATTTGCGCTTTCCATTTGGAGCACAATTTAGACGCCCAGCGTCGCCAGCGAGGACAGGGGTTGGGTGGCTACGGTGCTCTGGGTGGCTTGGTGGCACTCGGAAGGAGCCACTGTGGGCCTGGAAGCGCCCGACATCGACGCCAGCCTCTTTCTGTGTCTCTCCACTGTCACTTGTCCGCCAGCCCATGTGTTTGCTTTCGTTTTTGTAATCATCGCACGTCATCGAGACGCTCGTTTATATCGGCTACGAGATGTCCCTTGGTCACAACAAACGCCGCCACTCTCTTGTTTTGGCGCTCACCTTGCATCGAGGGCAGCGCTTAATCGTCAAACGAGCCCATCGGACGAGAGCAAAAAGGAGAAATGTCGATGCCAGGATAGACGACGATGCAGATGGCTGAATGCAGGGTCTCTCGCTAGTTTCACGATTTTACGCTGTGTGGATTGGATGGGAAGAGCGAGGTTGAGCGTGAAAGATGGAGAGCTGGCGCTGGGTCGGGGAAAGGGGGCGAAGCGTGACACGGCGATCGCTCTCAAGCCACTCGAGTCTTCGCTCTTCCGTCGATGCACATGGAGAGTTCGGGCGGTTTTTGCCGCGCCGGCTACGGATAGGTTGCCATGGGACATGAGTTCCTGCCCAACGAGGCCCAGTTGAGGTGAGTCTGACTTTGTGGCTCTCTCAGTCTACCACCACATGCCAGCTTTGCCTCCATCGTGTGCTTTTGAAACTCTTACTTTGTACAGAATAGTTTTGCCGCCATCCACCTCCTACGTAATGGGGTGCCAAGTGCCAGGTGCCAGTGGAAAGCTTCCTCGCAATCACACATTGATACCGTCACGTTTGCCGCACGGACGGGCGCACGTACCCTTTCCCAAGCGCTGTCGCTGATTTGTATTGTCGCCGCCGCCTCTTAGCTTTTGCCTCGTTGCGCACAAGCTGCTGTTTTTCAACTGCCTCGATAGTTTCCCACGCATGAGAGAAGCTGTCCGCGGTGTCCGGGAGCTGTCTGGGCCCTGTTTGACCCTTGACCCCCGACTCGGATTGGCTATGGAGGGCGTATTCGGTCAATTGCCGCATGCGAGCACGACCGTATCATTGGTTTGGAGGTCTGTTCACAGCAGCTGCTGGCTTGTCTCTTCCCTTGACCAGCCTGTGTGCCTGTGTGCCTCTTTCTATCTCTGGTCTCTCCGTGCCTAGCCGCTTTTCCTGGTTCGCGGCCGTTGACCAGACTCTCTTTCCACCCTTTTCATGTATTCATCGTGAGCTTTCCCTGGTTTGCCCAATGTCGCAACCCGACGCATAGGGCAAAGGATGGACACCCCAATCCCAAATCCCAAACACCGTGAGCTCACTTGCGCCGTACCAGGCCTCGAGGTCGCCTCCAACCCCTCTTCGCTTTTGCCTCTGCATCCCTTCGTCGTGCGTTGTGTGCTGCTACCGTCGTATTTTGCCCTTTCGTTCTTGGCACACGGATTGAGCTTCAGAGCGCACCAGAATGAGAGTATGCCATACACCGTCAGTTTCCTCGAGTCTATGCTTCGGCGTTCTCACTCTCCTTTCGTCGTCTCCATTGTCGATCGGTCGTAGGCCCCAACAGATTGCCTCTGTTGCCCTCGACTCGTTCGACCTTTTGTTGTTGCATTTGCCTGCATTACCATTTGCCTCACAGAGGCCCGGGCCTGTTTGCTGGGTTTCATGCCCACGCTGGTTTGCCGCCGCAAACGTATCTTACTCTTTCTAAATCTCTGGGCACAGCGCTAGGGGCAAAGGGAGTGGTGGTGGCCAGGCGGTGTGTCCCGCGCACTGTACGGGCTACTGTGCTTCCAGGAACTGTCCGCGGGTGGAAAAAGGTTCAGTGGGCTGGCATGGCCCGAGGGGCATGGCGGCCGCGTGCACGTAAACTTTATTTGCATTCTCACGCTCGAGACGGGACGACTTCACTTTTGAAGTACGTTCTTCTCAACACTCCACATATCTCGCTGGTTCGTCTTCTCGTCTGCAAAACGGCGTGGCGGGGGAGTAAGAAACCGACTCAAAAATCGATGCAGGCGAGATGCGGACGGATGGAGTCATGGGGGTGGGGGGTGAGTTGGCCTGGCCATGAGCATGAAACAATGAGGGGAGAGAGGCAGAGTGAAGAGGCAGAATGAAGAGGCAGAGGCAACATCGAAAGAAACATCGAAAGAAACATCGAGAGGCAGAGAGGAGACAAGACAACTCCAGAGGCAGAAAGGCAAGAGCTTGTCGTCGACTGCAATGAGAAGGGGCGACACACAAAGCCTTCGAAACAGGAAAGAGTGGACGCATTGAGGGCGAAACGTTGCCCAAGATTGCCTGTTTCTGTCCGTCCCCGCCGAATATGCGTCAAGCGGAAACACGCAAAGTAAGGAGGACAGGCAGTTCATGCAAGAGCTCCTTCCTCCCTGGACAGCTGCCAACGCAGTGCGCCGTAGAGGATATTTTGTACACTTTTTCATTGTATTCTTCCGGACGGGGAAAGGCTCGTACGATGCGTGGTATACTCCGTAAAGCTCGATGTACTCCGTACCTCACCTGTATTGCTCCGTTTGGATGCATTGCCAAAAAAAAGGACGACCGGGGTTGAGCTTCCCGGCCAGGAGAGCATGATGTTCGAGCGCACGGGTATCAGGCCAGGAAAAGGAAAAGGGAAAGGGAGACGAGGTTGAACAGATAGGAGTCACAACGAGAGACGAGAAGTTGTCCTGTCGATGCACGGAATGCGCAATTTGCTGGAAACGCTTCCGAGGTGTTTGTGCGTGTGGTCGGGCCTCAAGCAATGGGCGGCTGAATATGGCGATTGTCTGGCCTTGTGCTCCTGCCCTGTGCTTCTTCCTACGCTGTCGTGTCCCACCAGACAGACGATGGTCGGCCACGCCTGCCTGTCCGGCACCTCTTCGTCCTCATGGACACACAGGTCCCTGCCATTTCACGTTCTTGGACGGTCATTCCTCCTTCCCCTGGCTGACACATGCTTCGCACCTGCCTGGCCAGCAAATTCTTTGTCGTCAGTCAGTCATTTGCGGCGTTCAATGCGAGAAAAAGAAATACGGGGAAAAGCTCTGGCCAGCATCCATCTAGGCACAGGCAGGCAAGGTCCGCGAGGCCCATCTGGCGATGTCGCGCTTGTTGGCCAGGCCTCGTCTGCCCTCCACAGCCTGGCGAGCATGGATGGCCTGTCCTTCTCTACACGGCGGCGTACCTCGCATGGCATCGTCCCGGAAGCACACAATCGACTGGTTGTGAGGCCGCGATGGCAAATGGTAGAAGAGGCACGGCCGCACTCAAGGAAAATGTGGGAATCAGGGCAAACAGTGGTGCTTCATGGCCTGGGCCTGGCCGACGACAAACGGACAGGCATGCGGCAGCCAGTCTTTTGGCCTGGTGTTCTTTTGCTTCTGCCGCTTTCTGTGCTGACAAAAGCATCAAAGAGAGCGCCGTCAGCGCGAGACATCCCGGCGAGTTTGATTACAGCGCCTGCGCGGAGCAATACAGGCCATTCCTCCGCTGAAGACGATTAACAATAATAAGCTTCCCAGTGGCTGGATCAGCCGTGGGCACAGTGGCCGTGGTGAGACAGACAGAGGCGAGTGGAAAGAGAAGTAGTGGGCCGCTGTGGGGACCAGCTGGGTTGGCGCGCCGTGCCTCCAGTAAGATATCTTACGGACCCAAACCAGCGAGCCAGCGCTCTGCGGAGATTTGTGCGGGAGTGCCCCAACGATAGACTGGAAAGGAAGCAGCAGGACGCTGGCAGGCTGGCATGCTGCCAGGTCGGCCAGGCCTGGCTGCTCACGCTAAATGGCGCACTGTATTTCCTGGCACGATGCCGCCTTCGCGCCCATAGGGCTCGCAGCACTGACGCACAGCACAGCACAGTGCACCCCCATCGCCACACCACGCCATCGCACCGTCTCGCCTCGCGCTCGCGCACTGTCCATGACCAATTGGGCCCATATGCCCCTTGTCGGTCTGCCCACAGCCGCCTAAAGGCTAGGGGTCGTGCTTCTGTTTCTGTCCCCCCCTAAACCGGCCAGGCCCTCCCAGCCAGCCAGCCCAGCCCTGCCCATTTGCCATTTGCCATTTGCCATTTGCCATTTCCCTCGCCTCGCTCGCCTCCTTCGCATCACCACTTTTTCACCCTCTCTTTTCTCCTCCCCTTCCATCCTCCGTCCGCCACACGCATCTCCTCGCCCTCACTCCCTCTCCGTCACGCCTCGCATCTACGGCACCGACGCTCGACTCTAATTCTCCACAACACCCCTGGAGAATACATTTCGAGAGCGACGCACCGCCAACGGCTTCCCGACGAAACAAAACTAGAAAAACGACTCCCGACTGGTTTCGGAACCATTCCCCATCGCGTGTTGTCTCCCCCAACCTCGCATCCCATCCTATATTTCGTATCTTTCTTTTGCGTTTTGAAATCACGGTGACCGAGTGTCGCTCTACTATACCTGCTCACGTCCCTGACCTCCCATTGTCTTCGTCCACGGGGGTTCTCCTCATCTTCTTTTTCTCTTCATCGACCCCAACCTCCCACACCAGTACCGTCTCATCTGTGCCGTTTGTCATCCGTTTCGGCATCCCGGCAAGCGTTTCTCCTTTTCTGTTGCTTGCACCGCTCCGGCAACCTCGTCCTATCCTCCGCATCGCTGGCCATCGGCAAGACGATGCAACCCCTATCAAACGAGTTTTGACGATTTGCAACGACTCACGACTTTGACCGAACCGACCGACAAATTGGACCTGATTGTCCATCGATCGCTTATACCTCATCAGTATTGCGCCGCCGGCGCCGTCACGATTTTTTAACCGCAGACAAGGAGCACACAGGAACGCACTTGAATTCGTGTCGACGCGGAGCATCAGCCTTGGTGTCCCGTGTCTCTAAAGTGCCGTGCCCTTTGCCCTGTGCTCATTTCGATTATCCCCAATTTCTCCAAGCCTGCTGCGAGCCGCCTTGATAGTGTTTTCTGGCAACCCCCCCCCCCTGTGCGTGCATTCCAACCAGAAACCAAGATCCACTGCGCCGCCCGATTCCGTCCTCATCGACCGTGTCGAAAAGCGAGGACCTCTTTCAGCCAGCGACAACATCATATTTGGCATCGAAATCATTGTCGAAAAGCGATTGAGCGATTGACGGGATACGGCATTGGACATAAAGCCTCATCCTCCATCACGTCAGCCTTCCGCTTGCTCTGGTCTGCCATTTTCCCGCAGTCTCATTGCTTCTTGGCGTCCGCTTTTATCGCTCATCTTTTTTTCGTCGATTGATTTCTCCCTGGCATCGCTCCGCTTTCGCTTTTGCCACCAATTGTGTCGATCTGCACCCGCCTTGTTTTGAGTGCATCCTTCAAATCACCGTTTTTTGGTAGCTAGAGCCAAGGAGAGACATCCAAGCATCTCTGTCGCCCTTGCGTCCGGTGCTGTCAACTCCGAGCTCGCTGCTTTTCGCCATCGCAATTCTTGACCGTGTTCTACTTGGACCGGCCAATAGGTGCGCCCGTCTTGCCATCTCTTCCCACATCACCGTCGACGCTCGTCCCGGCGTCTTCGGAACCCTCATCTCAGCATGAGGGAAGTCAACTTCAGCATCCCCAACGTCAACAAGGCGTCGGTGGGTATCACCACCGCCTTGTACGACCGCCGGGCACTGGATTGCACGTCGACACTGCCTCTCATCAACTCACTCAACCACCTCGCCTACCTCACGACATCCTCTGCACGCATCCGCGACATTCTCACCGTCGATGGCGGCATTGAGCGCCTCGTCTGCATCCTCAAGCAGGGCCGCAGCAAAGACATGATGGACATGTGGAAATGGAACCTGGCCTTCCAGTGCGTCGTCAATATCGGCGTCCGTGGCACCGAGGCCGTTCGCACACGCGTTGTCGAGGCCGATATGGTGCCCGTCATCGCCACAATCTTGGACAACTACATCAAGGTGATTGAGAAGTGCCGCGAGAAGGCCGAGGAGGCTAAGCAGCGCCACGCCCGGGAGCACCATGGCCGCCATCGCTTGAACGACCTGCGCGTCGCCAAGTCCTCCTTTACCCACCGCACACTCGCCGTCGACCTGGACCACCGCTCGTCCCGCCGCCAGGCACCCCCGCCGTCCATTGATGTGTCAGCGACCTTTGCTGGGCCCTCGACAGTGGCACTGGGCGACCACACGGGTGCCGCCTCATCAATCGCGTCGTCTTCTGCTGCTGCTGCTGCGGCCGCGGTGGCGGCCGCCGCCGGCACCGCATCGGCGGGCGGCAGTGCCGCTCTGAGCGCCGCGTCGTCGACCGACGGTAGCACAAGCAACACCGATAACGACGCCACACCCACCATGTCCCAATTCCACATCACCTCACCAGCGGGCCCCCAGCATTCGGCTCGCTCCTCCATGTCTTCCCCGCCACCAGTCCCAGTCCAGTCATCTCTGCCGTCGTCGCTGGCGCCTTTATCTGCATCTACCTCTCTACCCACACCTGTCCGCCGATTCCACCACCACCACCACAACCATCATCATCACCATCTCCACGCCAGTGCTGCGGGCCCATCTTCGTCCTCCTCAAGCACAGCAACGCTAGCAACGCCTTCTGCAAACAACAACCCCATCGCTGCTTCCTCTGCTGCCATGGCCACTGCTGCGGCCGCCACGTCGGCCACACCGTCTCGGCACCCGCTCGTTCCCCCCTCTGGCGCGGCCATCCAACCCCTCTCCTCGGCCGTGCCTTCGGCGGCCTCTGTCAATGCGTCCGAGGTTAACGAGGCGAATCTACTACGCGCGATGCGCGACCTCGACCAGTATGCGTCTCCCTATGGTCTGGCCCGGCCTCTTCTGGGTAACTCCCAGCCGGCGTCACCAACAACTCCGCTTCCTCCACCGCAGCTTCGGTCACCTACCGTCCGTCCCACATCCCTTCTCGCCCCCACTGGCCGGTCACGGAGACGGCCATCGATCCGCCACCAGAACTCCACGTCGGGTCCTGCTGCTGATGTCGACGATCTCAACGCCGAGAGCGTCCAGTCCGACGAGACGCCGGACGCCGAGATGTCGGGCACGGCTGAGATGCAGGGGACGGTGGACATCCAGGACATCAATATGGAGGAGGCGGACAGCATGCTGGGTGGCGAGTCGCTCGAGCTGACCACGCCCACCGTGTCCGAGACGCAGGACACGGGCGCGTTTAATATTACGCACCGCGGTCCGCTTGACGGCAGCATTACCCCGGCTGCTACCACGGCGCCCGTTCCCGCCATGGGCCTGTCGCCCAATCGCCCGCCCATGGTCACGGCGCAGCAGCCCGTCATGCCGACCGCGAGCGTGCCCCGCTACCTCCTCGACCGCCATCTGACACCCCACCCGCAGGTCATTGCCTCGATGCCGCGGGAGGAGGATGTCCTGATGTCGCTGCAGCTGTTGGCCTACGTCTCAAAGTACTGCAACCTGCGCTCGTACTTCCAGAAGAGCCACCTGGTACCGCGCCTCAAGATCGGCAGGGAGCTGCAGCTGCTCGATGGCGACGACCTGAGCGGTTCTGACAGCATGGGTAGCGGCGCCACCGTCGTGAAGATGGAGGACGGCGACCTGGAAAACGACAGTACTGGTATCTCGGGCAGCATCGGCGCTCTGAGCAACAACAGCACGGCGACGACTGGTTCCGACGACGGCGCCGAAGACGAGGAAGAAGAGTACCTGCTGCCCAACGACCTCAACATCTTCCCCCTCGTCGAGAAGTTCACTGTCCGCTACCACAGCACCGACATGCAGTACTGGGCCGGCGTGGTCATGCGCAACTTGTGCCGCAAAGACGAGTCGCGTGGCGGCATTCGCCAGTGCGCTTACTATCAGTGCGGCAAGTGGGAGAAGTTTACGCGGCAGTTTGCTAAGTGCCGCCGCTGCCGGCGCACCAAGTACTGCAGCAAGGAGTGCCAGAAGAGCGCGTGGGCTTTCCACCGCCACTGGTGCGTTGCAGCGTCGCAGTAAGCCGCCGCCCGGTGAACACGAAACGAACAAGACGACAACAAGAAAAAAAAACGAAGAAAATCCACAATTCACACAGCATTGATGCATTAATGATGGGGGGGAATCGGAACGGTGTTATATTTTTTGTCTTCCCTGGCTTGCCTCTGTTTTGCTCGTTTCTCGTCTTCCTTGTTTTCATTTTGGATGCCATTGATTCTTTTCTTTACTTACGTCCTGGTTTTCCACCTGCTCCGATCTTGGGATATCGTCTGGTCTCGGAACGGCAGAGAAAAAGAAAAGGGGGACTGCTTCTGGACCAGTGCCACCTACATACGCGGGACGCAGAATGCGATGACACCACGTCAAACGTTGCACCGAAAAGCATTACGTCCGCCCACTGTTGGCAAGCACGAACGTGATGTTTCTTGTCTCCTATCGTCCGTTTTTCATTTTTACATCTGGGAGGATACAAAACCCAATACGCATGGCACGGCATCCTGGGGGGCACTATAGCCCCTTTGCGCGTTATTCTTCGTCTTCCTGTTTGGTTCTGTCGCTAGTCATGCCCTCGTCTTCTTTTCATTTGTCTGTCGTTACTTTTTCATCTTCCTTTCTCAACATCATGTCTCTTTCACCCATTTGTCACATTGAACACTTTTTTTCCTGTCAAAGACTCCACCCCATCTTATTATCATTATCAAAGCGGTTCGTCAGCATGTCTGTCTCTTTCTGTCCGTTTTCTTTTTGGCCGGCTTTAGTATTCTTATATCCAGATCAGCTTTATTTCTCTTGACTCTACAAATCGAAATAGCAAAAGATTTCAAACAGCAAGGCACATGATGGCATGCGAAGTGACAAGTAACTGGATTGCAATGGGATAGGGCCCCACGACGTTATAAGGACCGGAGAATGAGGCGAGAAACGAGAGAAAAGTGCTGTCTGGTCAGGTTCATTGTACCGAACAATTAGCCCTCTGCAAGGGCCTGGGACATGGACGTTTATAAAATCAACACGACGGAAATGGCACAGACAAATCTATGAAATGGAACACGGCAATGACAGATAATAGAAACAAGAGATGTATCCTTTGGACAATAGACAATATGTGAACACTGCCTTTTTGGACTCCTTCCAGCCATCCCGTCGCCCCCGTTACCGTTACCGTCTGCCTGCAGCCGCTTGTCGCCGCGCCTTACCGGGCCGCGTCGCTGCTGCCCGGCCGCGTCCCGGTTTGCCTCCGGCCTTCATCTTCCGGGCGTTGAACCCGCTCAGGTCGCCCGACGACAGGGCATCGCCCGACTTGGCGTGGCGCTTCTTGCCACCAAAACCGTACTTTTCATTCTTCTTCTGGCGCTTGGCGTTGACACCGCCGCCCGCAGCACCGCCACGAGCACCGCCCTTGGCGCCGCGGCCGGCGCCGGCAGACAGCTCCTTGTCAATGGCCACGTCAAAGGCGTCCGATTCGTGTGTGCTCGCTGTGCCGAATTCAGAGCGTTCTGCAGAAGTGGGTGGTGGCGGTGGTTAGCAACAGGGATGAACAAGGGCGTGGGTTTTTTTAAAAAGTAGCCCGGGGGGGACGAGCTCTGTCGGCACCATTGGGGCATTGGGCAACTCACTTCTCTTCAGACTCTTAATCTTCTCCAGCGTCTCCTTCTTCTCCTTGGCGCGCTCCTGCATCTTCTCGACCTGCACCTTCTTGCCAAACTTCTTCAGGTCGCGCTGCTTGCGGGCCTCGGCGGACGCCTTTTGCGCCGTCGCCGCCTCCACCAGCTTCGCCTTGACCTGTGCCATGTGGCCGTCGTCCTTGAGCATCTCGGCAAAGTAGTCGGTGGGGCGCGAGAAGGGAACGCCCTCCTTGCGCAGGCGGCGGCGGGCCTCCACAGCGGCCGCCAGACTCTGGGCGTACAGCGCCTGCTCGCGGACCTTGTCGTCGGACACGTCCATGGGCGTGCCGTCGGGGTGGCTGGTGGTGGGCACCGCAGACGTGACGCTCTGGTGCAGCTGGAAGGGGACGGAGGTGTCGGTGGGGGCGAACATGCGGATGCGGCGGAGCGAGGCGGTAAGGGCGGCGGTGTTGTTGATGGTCCGGCGCTGGCGGACAACGAGGCCGGCCCGCTCCTCCTCGTCGACGTCGGACCAGGCAAGCTCGTTTTCGTCGTCCTCTTCGTCGTTGTTGTCGTCGGCGACGGCCGCCTTGGTCGTCTTGGTCTTCTTTGTCTTCGCGTCCTTGTCGGCCGTCTTCGGCCGTGCAATCTTTTCCTCCATCTCGACCTCGGAGTCGGAGTCGTCAGAGTCGTTCATGGCGGCAATAAAGTCAGCCTGCAAATGAGGTGGTTAGCATTCTACTTCGAGTACGGTTGCACTCTGTCCTTGGGTTATCGCCATTTTGACTTACACCCAGCTCCTCGTCCTCCTCGTCCTCTTCGTCGCCGTCGCTCTCTGACGCTTCGTCGTCAATCAGAGCACCGCGCTCCTCGTCCTCCGCCTCGTCCTCCTCGTCATCCTCCTTGTCTTCGTCATCCTCATCAGCCCCCTCCTCTTCACGATGAGCAGCCTTCTTGGCCTTCTCCTTGAGGTTGGCCTTGTACTTCTTTTTTTCCTTGAGCTTCTTGAAGTCGGTGCCCTTCTCGGCGGCCAGCGCAACTCTGAGCTTGCTTCGTCCCATTGTGTCGGTATGTGTGGTTGTGGTCGTGTGCGGGTGGGCGTTGTCGTGGAAGGCTCAATATAAGCAATGCTCGACAAAAGTCCAATGCGCACCCCATCTGTGTCGCTCTACGGCCCAGCGAAAATGGCCCCGGCGAAATTTCAACTTTTTCTTTTTTCTGCCGTATCTTGATAGGTGATATAGTGGAGACGGTCCTCACCGCTTTCGATAAGAAGCACGTGTCAAATGCAGTTTAACGTGATATATCACGTGCATTGTTTTGTATTTGCTCCTACTAACAACGACGGCGGAAGCGGCCGTCTAACACCAAAAGGAGTGGTCACGTCCCAACCAACGACAGAAGAAGTTGACCCCCATGTTGTGACATTACTGTCGTATTCTGTACAGCATACGACATACAACATACAGCTGTCAGAAAATGCACTCTCATCACCAACAGTATTGCTGAGTATGGGGGTCAACGTGGGTTGCCTATGTATTGTCTGTTGGTCACAGTTCAAGGCAACATTGGGTGTCATTTTGTGAAACGACCTTGTAAACGGCGAATGCAAAGACGGCACGACGTGGCGTGGAAGAAGATTGAATATAGAAGGTACTGAAGTGAGAAATTAAAAAAAAAAAAAAAAAAAAAAAAAAAAAAAAACAAAAAAATTAGTGACGCTGGAAAACAATAGCAGAAAATAATGCACTCCGTAAAGAATACGCCAGTGAAGGCGACCTCTGTTGCTTCTCACATGATTTTACAGTTTTGACTTGAGGGTAACGAGTGGGTTCTTGTGGCGTCTTCGTTTCTGATCGCCGCGTGACCGATTCGAGGTGGCTGGTCTAACCAGAGCGCAGTGCTGTGGCCGGGATGCTTCTGATTTCGTCATTGCTTTCTTTCGCAGTTCTCCCACGATCATCTCGGTCTTGTCGTTACATGGAAAACGACAAACGAAAGGGATATGTTCACCGTGTAGCGTGGCCTCGTGTGGTGGTATATGTATGTAGAACGACGCATACTTTGCAGCCACTGACCGCCCTTACAACGCAATACCTTGTTGTTTTGCACGACGTTCGCGTTTGCCTTGTCCAACTTTTCTTAAGACGGCGGCAGAAGAGAGGGAAGCGCGCGTGAGGAGAAAACCAGGAGGCAATTCATACGTAGTAATAGATGCCAAAGACAACGGAGCGAATGGGATGGATTTCGTAACGTAATGTGACTCGCTGCAAATTCACACCAACAGTGTGCGTCGAGCTTTTCCCCACACGTCACAACCCCTGACTTTCCAAAGGGTCTTTTTGTTAGTTGTGTGAGTGTGTTAGTGCTAATTGGGTGGATGGTCTGGATGTTGTTTTCCGGGACCCTGGCGGATTTTGACCAAAAGAGACGCAACAATAGCATGAAAGGAATAAAAAAAGCAGGCAACGGATGAGAGACAAGCGACGTCAAATTTCGAGATACATGAGACAAAGGACGATCTCGCTCATGTACCTCGTAGTGATATGAGTGTAAAATGGACGGAATTTGCTTGCATCTGGTGACCTGGACGGCCATCTTCATGCCAATTACTCGGACTTTCTACGGAGTATGATCACTTACACGATATTTGTAAGGTTGCTCAGATGCTCAGAATTACCACAACACTTTGCGCAATTGACGAGAAAGACAGGACTAGAAAAAAACGACCAAAGCCACTGGAGGACTTAGCAGCCCGGCAATTACACAAGGAGAAATAAGAGTCACTGATATCTAACCGTACATAATGTCGGCGAGGTTAACAAACGACCAGATAATGTTGATACTGGCATCACCAGACCCCGGCCTAGGCCCAAGAAGGCGTAGGGCAGGACACGGAGCAAAGATGGAGAAATAAGGACAGACACCGACGAACTACAGATTATACGACATGCAACAAACACAACCAGCCTTGGCTCATTTGAGAGGCGACTAAAGACAGGATGAAAGTCATGGGCTAGAAGAAACGTTGTCCGAAACGAGAGACCGTCTCAGGATCGGGTCACAAGTGCCGGGAAATGGAATCCAACACTCGGCACAAAGACTGTAGCTTGTCGTTTGGCGACGGAAGGCGTGGTCGTAGCGCAGATCGAAATCGAAATACGGACCGACGACTGGAAAGTGTGAGGTATGCTCTGGAGAGCACCACCGTGATTCGAGGTGGCGTAGAAAGCAGATGTGAAGGAGATCGGAGAGGAGAATGAACAAAGGTTCTTCGGTCACAACTGTCAACAGGAGAGGCCTTGAATGCAACTCCAAATGGATTCGGATGGTACCCTGGAGAAGACAAAAGGAAGAAAGAAAAGGAAGAAAGAAAAGGAAGAAAGAAAAGGAAGAAAAGAAAACGGAAGAAAAGAAAACGGAAGAAAAAAGAGGAAAAGGGAAAGGAAATGACAACAGAGAGAAGAGACAAATATAAAAAAAGAAAACAAGCTTACCCCAAACGAAACAGGTGTGAATTTACGCCGTTCGTCCCTTGTCGTCGATCCAACCACAACCTCTCGACTCCCATTGACCCCCAGAGCTACCCCTACCTATTTGCCGTGTTTTTATTTGTATTTTTATTCATGTCATTTGACTGTCTCCTGGACTCTGTCTATATCAAAGTGCACTCATCCCCCCAGTCCTTGACCCCTTCTGTTCTTTTGTTTTCTCCTTCTCTCTCCCATACTTCAGAGACGTGTTTCTCATCTCGTTTTGTTTTTTTATTGTCGTGATACCCAGATACCCCAACAACACACATCTTTTGTTTTCACTTTATCTTCTCGCCATGGCTGACACGCAGCCTGCCCAGACAGCCGTCGCTCACGAGGTGCCCGCTGCGGCTGCCACGGAGCACAGCTCGTCCGAGCACGAGGCCTCGGCGGCTGTGGGCCCGCACGACAACGAAAAGGCCGCCGTCGAGCGCGCCGAAGGCGGCGGTGCGGCCGGCACCACGGCGTCGCACAGCTACATTCCCGAAAACGACGAAGACTACGACGTCACCTTCAAGACGTGGATAGTCGTCTTTATTTTGTCGGCCAGCTACGGCATTTCCTTTTGGATCGTGCCGGCCATCAACTCGTGCGCGGCCACCGTCGCCACGCTGCTCGGCGACCCGACGGCGTACGCGTGGTACGTCTCGATCTACCTGATCACGATCACGATTGCGTTTATGATCTGCGGCGCCAACAGCGATCTGTTTGGCCGGCGCTGGTTCATCACGGGCGGCAACGTGCTGCTGTTTGTCGGCTTCCTTGTCGGCGGCTCCGCCAAGAACAACACGGCCATGCTGGCGGCCATGGGCCTGATTGGGTTTGGCGCGGGCAACGCGCAGCTCGCCGCCTTTGCGCTGCCCGAGCTGCTGCCCAACAAGTGGCGCCACATTGCCATTGTCATTGCCGACCTGTTTGTGCTTTTTAGTGCTGTCGTGGGCCCTGTGGCCGGCCGCTTCGCCGTGGCCGTCAGCACGTCCGCCTGGCGCTGGCTGTTTTACGGCCCGGCCATTGCCGCCGCGCTCTCGTTCCTCGGCCTGTTTCTGTACTACTACCCGCCGGCCCACCCGCGCGGTCTGCCGTTCCGCCAGGCCGTGCGCGAGCTCGACTACGGCGGCGCCCTGCTGTTCACGGTTGCCGCCGTGCTGACGCTCGTCGGCATCAACTACTCGATCCAGCTGCCCTCGAGCGACCCCAAGGTCGTGGGCACGCTCGTGTCCGGCCTCGGCACGCTGCTCGTCTTTGCCCTGTACGAGACGTTTGTGCCCCTCAAGCAGCCGCTGACGCCCGCGCGCGTCTTCACCAAGGGCCGGGGCCGCGACCTGACGGCGCCGTTTGTGGCCGCCTTTGTCGTCACCATGTTCTACTATGCCATCAACGTCATCTACCCGACCATGATCGACGTCTTCTTCACCGACGCCAACACGAGCTTCCGCTACCAGATCGTGCTGACGCTGCCGGCCAACCTCGGCCTGTGCTTCGGCGCCTTCCTGCTGTCCGTCCTCGGCACCCGCATCGGCCACTGGCGCTGGACCCTGACGGGCTCCGTGCTCATCATGGTCCTCTTTGGCGCCCTCATGGGGCTGGTGACGCCCGAGCGCAAGGGCCTCGTCATTGCCCTCGTGTTCATCGAGCAGATCGGGTTCGGCTGGGCCCAGTATCTGTCGATTGCCTTTGTGCAGTTCGGCACCGACCAGGTCGAGCTCGGCATCGCCGGGGGTCTCGCCGGCGTGTCGCGCTTCGCCGGCGGCGCCGTCGCCATCACCGTCTTCTCGACCATCCTGTCCAACGTCACCACCAAGAACATGAAGGCGCTCGTCCCCGCCGCGGCCACGGCCGCCGGCCTGCCCGCATCCTCGGTCGATGCCCTGCTGGCCGCACTGCCGCTCGGCGCCACCGCCCTCGAGGCGGTTCCCGGCATCACCGACGCCATCATCGCCGCCGCCAGCAAGGCGTACCAGCAGGCGTACGTTGTGGGCGTGCGCACGACGGCGCTTTCGTCGCTGTCCTTTGGCATTGTCGCCATCATCGCCTGCATCTGCTGCAACGACATTGACAAGAAGATGAACAACAAGATTGAGATCTACCTCGAGAACGACGTCAACGCCGACAAGAACAAGTACCACTAGAGGTTTGAAAGGGAGAGTAGGGGGTGAGGCGATTGGCGTGCTGTGAAAAGGGATGGATACACTGTTGGAATGGGGACAGGAGGAGAGGGGATGTTGACAGGACAGTTCAAGATCACCACATCGATACCACGTACCTGACTTTCTAGCACACACTGTACTCTGTATACGGACAACCGTTCATATACCGCATAATCCATCATGTTTGGCGAGGATTGAAATATTGTGACAATTTATGTTTTGCTACACAATGGACGACGTGACGATGGCAAGCAGCCTCTATCGCACCTGCCTCCTGTCCGCCCTTCACCATCTTGGACCCACCGTGGATTTGCAGCTGTGCAGGAAAGAGCGACTGACCCAAAAATTGACCACAAGAAAAGTAGCCAGAGCCGGTCAGTAAACATACACGACAGACAGCGGATAGGAACGGACATGGGTGGGCGGACGGAGATGGTCCACACGGAGCCCGTCGCTGAGAAAGGTCTGCCAGTCGTTTTCCATGGCGATCCAGCAATGGCTACAGACTGCCAACGATGTGCCTGTACGTCTGTTCTTTGGGTCCGGTTTCGTCACATACTGTAGAGGACGGACGACAACACCAGTCGCACCTTCCGCCCGTCTCCCTTTGTCCAATCCGGGTAAAGCAATCCGAGCCACAGATGCTTTGAGCGTTGCAGGGAAAGAGCTGTCTCCCCCACACTGAGGCGGGTGTGGTCCCTGTCTCCACTATTTACCTTTCCTGTGACCATGACTGTGGCCAATCACAACGTCTATCTGTGTTAGTCGATTCTCCACAGTAGGTCTTTTGGAGACGGCGCTCGCGAAGTTGACATACCATGTCGAATTCAGTTTCCACTAAGCTGCGATATGGTAAAAGTGAGCGGTTGCTGCGCCCTCGGACTACGGCTGCCGAAGAAAGGCGAGTCAGCGATTGCCCCCAACACGATAAACTACCCCAAAAGAGCTCCATCGAGGTGCCGCCAAAGGCATTGCTACCCCATACTTTGGATGCTTTCAAACTGGAGACGAATCTACTATTCCGTGTTAGTTGTTTGTTTTGTCGAAGCTGTTGCAAGTGTTTCCCCTCTTCGTATGGCCTCAGCTGCTGTTGGTGATAAGGCATGTGAAGTATGTTGTCCTTTTATATAACAGTCTCGACGGCAGCAGTTGACAAAAAGCTTTTCGTCTTCGTTTTGTATTTCTATTTAATTGCTTTTCTTTCTTCTCGCTTCCATATTTACCTTGACCATACCCCGTCACACTCCCAGCTACTACAATGGGGTTTACTACGCAAGACGACAAACTCTACCTCTTTGCCTTTGTGCACTTTTTGCCAGGCAAATACAACACAGTAGGGTTCCTCCTGCCCACGGATTTTCTTTGCAGAAAACAATTGCATAGACACACGGAACAACAACCGCTGACTCTCCCAGTGGCAAGGCGCCTACGATGAACTCGCCAAGTACGTCTGGGCCGAAGAGCCCACCACCGAGACGTACTATTTCGGCATTCCCTGCGACTTTGCCGACGACGTCGAGAACACCCCGCTGATGTTTGCCTTTGAGGTCTACGACAAGCGCGACAGCCTCTACCACGTCCACTTTACCAGCCCCACCATGCAGACCACGTTCATCCCCGTCGCCCTGCCCAACATGACCACCGGCTTCGACCTGCAGCATTACGCCCGCGTCGGCGGCTTCCTCGATCGGCCCGGCGACGGCCGCGCCTGTGGCTTCATGTACGACGTCAAGATCAAGTGCACGTCGGTCGAGGCGCGGGACCGCGTGGCGGCGCGGCTGACGGCGCTGGCGCCCGCCATTGAGGCGGCGGTGCCGACGCAAGACGGCGGCATCCTGACGTGGGTCGCGTTTGCGAGCCAAGACGTCGACACGGACACGCGGCTGCTGATTCGGTTCCGGGACAAGGCGGCGTTCCATGCGTACACGAGGCTGCCGGCGGTGCTGGACTTTTGGGCGGCCGGCAAGGAGGAGGACGTGGACAAGATGGAGCAGTGGGGGTACGTGGAGAACGGCAAGGGATGGCTGCACCGTTGAGTGGCGGTGGCGGATCTGGTTGATGGCCGTATTGCCGTATTGATATAGAGAGACTTTGCAGATGAAACGGTAGAGTCAGTTCGAGCAGCCACAATGAATCACATGCAAGTCAAGACAGGTTTGAAAAATCACTTCGGATTGAGTATTAGAAAAGGTTCGTTCAAAGAACCCACGACCATGTCAAGTCATGGGCCTGTATTTTACTATAGGACAGGGTGTTCTGTCGAGAAGAAAAGTAGGAGCAAGAATAAGAAAAAAAGGAAACAAATAGCCAATGTCAGTCCGCGCCGGCAAGCTGTCCACCATTTCGCGAACGAATTTCCCCGTTCCCGCCACCCCTTCCCTCCCGTTTCCATCCCAAGATCCCGATTATTGATTATCCAAGGACAAGAGCATAAATAGAGACCAGAAATGAAAATGAAAGGATAAGAGAAATGGGAACAAAAAGCATGATGCAGACAGCCCGTGGGTCTGGAGAGAAGACAAAAACAATGAATGGCGAATGCTTCTTCCTCCATTCTCGCACCTTTCCTCCATCAGAAGATTAAGAGAAGTATATTGAAAGAGGGTTTGGGGACTGTACTCTTTCCAGACTCTTTTGAGTTGTTTCGAAAGGGAGTGTTTTTTTTGTAGGGAGGCGAAGAACAAGTGGGTTTTTTTTTTTGTTGTTGTTGCTGTCGGGTCGTTGCAGCATCGTGTTGTCTCGATCGGAGAGCGATCTCAGAGGGAAGCCCTCAGAGACTGTTGACAATCAGCCCTCTCTCAGAGGCGGAGACAAGAACCATGAACATCGCCGCTTTTCTGTTCCATTTCGGGGAACAAGAAAGAAATGACGATTTACATGATGGTGCAGGAGCCACCGGTGACGTAGCCAACCTGGGTAGACTGAGTAGCGGTCTGGGCGTCCATTTTGATTCTGGGGAGGATTTGTTTAAGAAAACAAAGAAAAGTTTGTATAGAAAATGTAGAAGTGAAGATTGGAAGAGATGATTGTGGATGAAGAGAAGAGAAGGGGAAATTATGAGATGAAGACGGGTGAGAAGGGGGCTATATATGTGCGAAATCGACGGTCACATTTGTTGAGAAGGAGTCGACAGACAGAGACAGAGAGAAACAGAGAGACACGGTAGAGAAGACTGTGAAGTCGTCAAGGCCGTGTATGGTCGGGCGGTCAAACGCAGGGGAGTGGTGGAGTTGTGACGTTGGTTGGTGCGTTGTTTCTCAGCGAGTCGACATCGAGCAGATGTCTGAAAGAAGCTTGTCAAAGGCAGAGAGAACACGCACTGAAAGAAGCATGTTTGAGGAAGACGGAAGAAGAAAGAAAATAGGAGGATATCACGCTAGAGGATGCAGATGACCATCCAACATGTCGCGAGGGAGTCTGAACATGGAGGCGAAAGCAGCCGAAAAGAAAGGAAACACAACGAAAACGACAAGAGAAAGAAGCATGTTCAGGCTTGCCTCTGGCGGGAGAGGAACAATATCAACAGAATGTAGGGGCGGGGACAGTAAGACGCACGGCTAGGCGTGCAAAGGGACAATAGCAAGCGGCTTCAGGGAGACCGAAGGGATCAAAACGGGATGGCGGATATTGACATCTCTCCTGGCCTCGTGGACGTGGACTGCATCAGGTTACGGTAGCCCGAAAGAGAAAGGAGGGTCACCCTGTCAATGCGAGTTGTTCATTTTACAAAGTTGAAAGAAAGGAGTACTATCAAGGTGAGTGGAGAGGAGAGAGGAGAGAGAAAAGTAGATGGTGTGGATGAATATGGAGTGGATCTGATGGTCGACAATCATAGCAAGAATCGTCGACTTCAAAGAGATGCTGACCTTACGAGAGCATGCTCCCAGATTTGACTGACTCGAACAAGCGTCGGATAAGCCACTTTGGTGCGTTGCAAAGTGTTGTCTTGTTGGTTGCCGCATAAGCCTTCGTGGTCCGCAACGTCCATTGACACCCGATTCCTGGTCCTGCCTCGTTCTGCACCGACATGCCGGAGGAACGTACGATGATCCTTTTGTTCTGTGCCTGTTCTAGAAGCATATTTTGGCTGTCTTTTTTTGTTTTGTTCGTCTCGTTGGCGGAGTCTGCCTTGTCCTGGTTGATATTGTCCTCTTGTTAGCGTTGGTATTGTTCTCACCTCGGTCAAAGACGCGGACATTACAGAGGACACCGGCCACGTTCTAGACTGGAAGCTCTGGACCGAGGAGAGACGAGAGATCAGCTGTTCACAGAGAAGACATTCATACTATTGCTGCCTGTCAGTTATGTGGAACAATGCACGATGGTGACTTTGTGTTCTCGTTTCTCGTGTTTTGAGTTGCTACTTTGTTAAGTAACCGTTTGCTTCGTCCTCGACTCTAGGCCTAAGCCAGGGGCAAGGTTAGGCGAGTAAAGCAAGAGAAGTTTACTGCAACTGCTCTGCTTTCTGCTGAATGGACATTTCCGTTCGCCCATCGGCGATGCCAACCTCGCTTGACGTCGTTTGTTGACATTTGCGAGGCTGTTGGTGGACGAGGCTGGCATCAAAGAGCCCTTTCCGTGCTAGCACCGGTAGCCTTGCTATTGTTCCGCTTTTAGCGTTGCGATTGTGCTACCCCAGACCTTGTCTCAGCGCCCACGTTTCCGGACTTATAGCGTCATATTCGGTATTACAGTGGGTTTGGCTTACTCTGTGAGCAGTGCTCTCAATTGGTGCATCTTGTCGTCATTACCACAACACGCGAGCGACACAATCACCTCCAGAATCCAATGGAAGTGCATCTTGTGAGGTATTTTCTTCAGTTTTTTTTCTCTCCATTTTCTCCTCTCTGAACCAACTCGATCCCAGATCTTTCTGCCCACGTTGTGTCGGCTGCACTTTGGAAGCAATTTATTTGTTGCCGATATCGATGTTTGTGAGGCGACATCAAGACGTCCTGCATCCTCGACGTAAAGCTGGCCGCTTGTACCACGAATTCACCTCAGTCCATTCATACCTGCACAATCTACTCTTTCCGTTTTCGGGTTCAGCCATGGTCATTCTGTTTTCTCGCCAACGAAGTAGCCTCGAAATATCCAAACATCTATTCCCAGTAGTTTGAGACGCCCATAGCCCTCTTCTTGTCGTCCTGCTTCTCAACTTGTCGTCGCTTGCCATCGACCTTGCTTCTCATCTATTCTTCGCCTGCTCAACGCCCCATCTTCCCTAAAACCGCGTAAAAGGCAGCCACTTGCCGCGCAGCTTAATGTTCACCCACGCCACGCCGTCCCCGTCCACCTCCTTGTCCACCGTCGTGCTGAACGCAATCGCACTCATGATGCCGTCCCCAAACTTTTCGTTAATCACTGCTTTGTACGCGTAGCCGTAGTTTTGCACAATCTCGTAGAGTCGGTAGATCAACGGCTCGACGGGCGGCATCGGGCCTGCGCGGCCGCGGTCGGGGAAGACGCCGCCGATCTGGGAGAGGAGGGTCGCGTGGTCCAGTCCCAGCAGAGGCGCCAATTTGGCGACGTCCTCTTCGGACGCGGTGGCCTGCCCGTAGAAGATGGCGGCGACGGCGACCTCGCTGCGGCCCAGGGCTTCGGCGATGGCGGCAAACGTGAGGCCGCGCTCGGTCTTGGCGGCGAAGAGGGACTGGGCGTGGGAAGGGAGGCGAGAGACGATGGAGTCCTAGATGGCCGTGCGGCCAAACTTGTTAGCAGTGCTTTTTTTTTGCCTTTTTGTTTCTGTTTTCTTTCAAACTCCAAGCGTCCCTCTTCAGATTAACACACATCAAGTGACGCGAGCTTGGGCTGGTCCGGCATGTTGGCGGTTGGTGGACGTGGAGTTGTCTATGGGTGGTAAATATCGAGCAAAGCTGCTTTTGTTCAGTTCTTAGTCTTTATATTGTTTTGATACTGTCTCGATATTGTGATATGCTCTTGTTTCGTTGTCCTGAGATGTTTCTGGCAAATTAACTTGTGACACAACCCCGCTGCCAAAAGGACAAGGGAGGCGGATATATGGATAGATGCTACGGCCAAGCACGGCAAGAGCGATGCGACGTGCTCGATGGGTCGTCTCTAAAGCGTGGCAATACGCTGACCCCGCAATCTGGAGATACGGTGATAACTATGAACTCGATTCATATTCTCTATTACGTACTAAACAAATGGAAATAATGGGCATCATGGTATTCTTAACTGTAAAGATGATCAATATAAACAAAAAAAACTCAAAGTAATGCAAATTAAAACAGATTTGCTTCGAAATGCCTCGAATCTGTAGAAATGGCCAGAATACGTTCGCCAGTCGCTCTTTCCCTGTACCACATGGACAGCTCCTTCCTCAAGCTCTCGTGGCTCGGACATAAACCGGCATCTGTTAGCCCTCAATCTCCCCTCTTCCGAAGTAGCTTCCACTTTTGCTCCTCTTTTCCGCCAAGAGTCGCCGAATGTAGCCGATTTATGGACAAGGCGATACTCTGTATTCTCGATATTGGACCCATTGCATCGTCGTCCAGCCCAGCCGCGAGGCCGCTCAGATGTCGTCTACGCGTAACGAGTCCACTCTTTCGCTGACAAGGGTAATCCACTACGCGATGTGCACTCAACGGCCATGTTGACAGGCTCCGCCATCGCACCACGAGGCAGCGCACGTGTGTCTGTAAGTGATCTCATGGTCACGACTGAGGCAAGTAGTAGTCGAGAAGTGAGGTTATTGGAGTTGTAAGATTGACGGGCTTTGTAGGGACAAGAAAATAGATACACAGTCCGGACCAGAAAAACACGAAAAACGGGCCAGGACAAGGCACAGACGAAGAGGAGGGAGGCGAGGTACAAGAGCGTGCTGTGAAATGGTGCAACTTCTGGGACGTGGATGCAAGCCAAGCTGTTCTGTCGACTTTTATTTTCCGCAACGCAGCCAAGTGAAGCACGACATGCGGATGTTTGTCTCTTACTGGGAGACTTATGCTTGATCGCGGTTTGATGGCAGCGTAAAGCTAGAAATGGGAGTGCTTTAGTGGCTCGCGCCTGTTCGCTCCGTCGAGACCCACTACTCGTGTTAGTGGATATTCCCTGTGGAAAGGAGCCTAGAATGATGCTCAGACAGCTGCAAAGACTTAGTCTAAAGGCTGAAAATGGACGGTTTAGGCCGAACGTATCTACATTGTCGGAACAATCTGCTTATCGATAACAACTTCCAAAAAAAAAATACGATAAGCTTTTTCTGCAGTAACAACCATCTTTACAACAACGCATTCGAGCCTATACACAACGTCGCAACATCATACAACCAGAATCCACACCAAGATCTTTCTGGTTCTCTTCAGAGTCTGAACGGTAATTACTATTCGGCGCGACTCCGCGACCACGTGACCACGGGGCGCCTTCGTTGCGCGCCCATTGACGATCGATTGTCGATTTCCTTTTCTTCTGTCCCATCCAACCCTCCTCCAAGCCTTCCACAATGCCTCACAAACACACTCGGCGGGACCAGGACTCCTCCATGTAAGAATATACCATTAGCAGCCACCTCCATGTCACTTCCACCCGCTGACCCGCTGACTCGCTGACCCGCTTGCTCCGTACAGCTACGACCTCCCCCCAGACCGCATCGCACGGCCACTGCCTACAAAACCAGCCAAGACCGAGTCGGCCAAGACGAGCACGACCAAGTCGAACAAGGCCAAAGGAGGCAAGGGTGCCACCGCAACAAGTGCCGCCGCAAGACGGAAACGCGAGGCCAACAAGGACAGCGTCAGCGCCAGTACCAAGGCCAGCCATGACACACCGCGCGCCTTCCGCCGGCTCATGTCCTTGACAGGCGGCAAGCGCGTTCGGCAGGGCCTGGACACGGGTGTTGTGGAGACGAAGAAGCAGAAGAAGCAGCGGTTAGCAAAAGAGCGGGCGGCAGCGGCAGCGGCAGCGGCGGCGACGGCCGGGGGTGACGATGACGAGGCTGACGTGTCCACGACGCAGACGACAGTAGCAGCTGCGGCAGCGCCTCCTCATGCTACCTCTGCCTCTGCTTCGGATGCTGCGCCCGCCGAAGCCCTCACAATCCGCCCTGGCGAGCGCCTGTCCGAGTTTGCCTCCCGCGTCGACGCGGCCCTGCCCCTCGCCGGTCTCGTCAAGTCGTCTACGCCCGGCGGCGCCGGCGGCAAAGACCCGCTCGGCATCGCCAAGACGTACCGCACCAAGCAGGAGCGCAAGCTGCACAAGCTGTATGACCAGTGGCGTCTGGACGACGCGCGCATCAAGGAGCGCGAGGCCGAGGCCCGCGAAGAGGCCGAAGAGCGCGAGGCTGAGCTCGACGAGACGCTGGGCGTCAAGTGGCGCCTCGACTTCCAGCAGGGCCTGGCGACCAAGCAGGGCGGCGGCGCCAACGGCAAGAAAAAGAAGAAGCAGCAGCAGCAACGGCAGGCGCTCGGCGGCAGTGCCAACAACTACGGCGCGGCCGACGACGACGACGTCTGGGCCGCGTTCAACCGCAAAAAGGCCGCCGCCACAAAGAGCACCGTGCGCGCCGGCGTCCACGGCACCGTCGCCGCGCCGCCGGAGCTGACCAAGATTGACAGCAGCAAGTTCAAGTTTGCGCAGCAGAAGAAGGCAGGCGGCGGGCAAGGCAGTGCCGAGGTGGCGGCGGCGGTGGCCCGGCTGAACGTCGGCGCGTCGGCCAAGAAGGGCGTCAACCGGCGACTGGGTGCCGTGGCCGCGGGCCGTGTCACGAAACCCGGCGAGCGGGCCCGAGGCAAGGGCACGCGGGTCCTCCCAATGTGAGGATACAGCGAGAGCCGAGAGCGAGTAGCGGCCGTGAATAAAGCGGTAATACAACCATTGGAGCGGTCTAGAGCCTCAACCAAAAGCAACAGAATCCCTTCTAATCGCGACCACGTGACTGCGACTCGTCTTTGCAACTACGTCCCATGCCAGACACATACGTAGACAAAAGAACAATTGGCTGTGACAACGTAGATCTCATGCGAGCCCAAGACGATGCAGTAGGTTGCTGTCTTCCATCTTTCCGTGCTCTGCGCTGCCTGGACACGGGTAGAGAACACAGCGGTCGGCATTGCCTTTGAGCTTTGAGCTGTGGCGAACTAAAAAAGTGGAGCCAATTAATTCTGGCATTTGCCCCAGCGCAAAACACGCGGCGCGCGCAAGACTACACGCGTTCGAGCCCCGCCCTGTGCAATTTTTTGGAGCTCGATTTACACTTTTTTACCTTTATTATTTGGTCATCATCAACGATATCTACACCACATCAACATCCATCAGCTACCTGTAGAAGTTCATTTCATTTAGAGTTCACTGTCACCCTATTCTCTTACGCAGTAGCTCAACACCGCCCCAGCATGCGGCCACGCGCAACGCAGCCATGGCCAGAGGACTCGACGAGCTGATCGATTGGCTCGTCGCCGAGACGGCCTATTGCGGCGAGACAGGTGCGTATTGCGGTATTGCGGTCCACGTAGCCTATTGCACAGTATGTATACTGACACCGGCTAGGCTTTCGCGTGGCGGACTTTGTGACGGCCGTGAGCCGGTTTAATGGTCGCTCCCAGCCCAAGACAGAATCCGTGGACGGCGACAATGGCGGCGGCAGCAACACACCAACTGCGGCGTCGACAGCCGTGTTTGTCGACATGCCACTGGCCCGCAAAGCCTGGGACTGGCTGGTCGAGCGGCCCGAGATCCTGGTAGGCCGCAACGGCGACCGGGGCCACCTGTCGCTGGACGATGCCCTCGCCCTTCCCGAGCCGCAGCCGCCCGTGGCAGATGACCCAGTTGACCCGGCGATGGAGGACGCCGACGACAACAAGATTGCCATGGCCGCAGCATCACTCGCAACACCGGCCAAAGGTGGAAAGCGGAAACGAAACCGCAAGAGTGCGGGTGGCCGGTCCTCCGCGTCTGCAGCCGCTGCAAACGAGGACCCGAGCACACGGCCGCGCCTGTACGCGACGGAAAAGACCATTTGGTACACGCTGACCGGCCACGACGTCGACTACAAGAAAGTGCCCATGCTCGAGTGGCAGTGCCTGCAGGGCATCGCGTCGGCACGCACCAAGGGCATCCTGCAAGCCGACCTGCGCGACAGCGTCGGCCAGGACAAGCGCTCTGTCCCCAAACGCACGGATTTCTTGGCCGCCAAGGGCTACGCCATCAAGCGCACCACCATTGCTCGCGGCTACCGCACCAGCATGCTGTGGCTGGCCGAGTTTGCGCCTGTCGAGCTCGACTCTGGCGCACCGGAACCAACCACAACAGAATCTGCAACAGCCCATGCAGCAGCATCAATGACCGCAGACGACGCCACCCCGGCCCTCTTGTCGTCCAAGGATCTCGCCAGCAGCGGCATCGACTTCTCGCCCGAGTTTCTCACCAAGGACCTCGCGCCCGTGCCCTGGCGCAACCGCTGGATCGGCGACGCCATTGAGTTTGCCTCCTTTGGTCAGACCATCCTGGCCATTGTCAAGGCCTGGGGCGTCATCCGCGTCGTCGACCTCAAGGTCAAGCTGGGCATTGTCGGCCTGCGCTGGCAGATGCGCACGCTGGCCCGCGCCTCGCGCGAGTTTGTCGCCTCCGGCATCCTCAAGTACGTCGCCGCCATGCGCCCGGACGAGCGCCAGCTGTTCAAGGACTGCATCAAGTTTGAGCGCGACCCGACCCCCGGCGAGTGGGCCGTCTACCTGGCCGCCGGCCGCCGGCGCGCCCCCATCACCGAGCTGCGCGCCAAGCGTAAGAAGGAGCTTGGCCGACTGTCGTATGCGGGCGGCGACCACCAGAGCGAGCTCGAGCTGGACAGCATGGCCGCGCTCGAGGAGGACGACGAGGACGGCGACGGCGACGGCGATGCTGCGGGCGGGACGAGCGTAATGGGGGGCCGTGTCGCCGGCCGCTCGAAACCCGCCTGGGCGCTCGACGTGCCCCTGGCCAACCTGATTTACGACACCGTCGACCGCGCCGGCATCGACGGCATCACGTCGCCCGAGATCTGCCGCGCCACCCTGGGCCCGTCGTTTGCCCGCTACGTGTTTTCGCTCGTCACCGCCATGTCGCGCCCGGGCAGCCAGCCCGACCACCTCCGCCAGTTCCAGCTGCACTGCGAGCCCGCCCGCGTCGGCAAGAACAAGGCCTACCTCTTCCGCACCCTCGAGAACGCCAAGCTGGCCGAGCGCATCAGCCACGGCGAGTCCCTCGACGCCATTGAGCAAGAAACGGCGGCAGCGTCGGCCGCGGCACGCGCCGACGCCGCCACGTTCTGGGCGCTGCGCGACGCCGGCACGCTGTTCGATCGGCCGGCCGAGGAGCTGCGCCGTCTCTACGGATTCGCGCCGCTGCCGCCGCCCATGACGGCCCAAGAGCTGGCCGAGCAGGAGGCCAGGTGTACGGCGCTGCATGTACGCAAGAGGGCCGGCCGGCCCAGGAAGAATGGACCCCGCGGCAGAGACAGACGAAGAGGAGACAACGGTTCGCCCAGAGTCGGTGCAGATCACAGCGTCGACGCAGGCACGCCACCGCCCAAACCCAGGCGAGGACGGCCGCCCAAAGTCAGAGATGCGGAGCCCGACGAGCCCGATGAAACTGAAGACGCCGACACAGACATGGTCGACGCTGAAGCCATCATGGAGAACGGCGAGGCTACTGATGTGCGGCCTGTTGCCGCCCCTGTGGCACCAAAGAGGCGTGGGCGTCCACCCAAGGTCAAGCCAGCCGAGGCCGCCGCCGAAGCGGAAGACACGGGCAAGGAAGACAAAGAACTGGAGGCTGCTGCCGCCGAAGCTGCAAAAACGACATCATCACCACCAAGGCGCAAGCGCGGACGGCCACCAAAGAAGAAATTTCCTGTTACGGAAGAACAGGCTCCAGTCGAGGCAAGCGCGGCCGACAAGGAGGACGACGAGGCCGAAGCGGACAGAAACGGAAGGTCTGACCGGGAAGACGAGGGTCCGGATGTCAGGCGTACACAAAGCGTTCAAAACGGGCAGGGACGACCAGAGGCGGATGCCCTCGTGCCGGTTGCCTGCCATTACAACGGCAAACCGGGTCACCTCACCTTCGACAACGACAACAAGACGCTCACGTTTGCCTTTGCCATCCCCCGTCGCGGCCGCCGCCCAGCGAACCCAAAAGAGCCCATCACCATTGCAACCGACAACTTGGTTGGCGATCCGGTCATCCGCAGGGCACCCGGTGGCGATGGCCAGGCCTTTGTTTTGGAAGCACGCGAGGTCCGTGACGGCGACGAAGCTCACAACGATGGGGATACAGGCCGACAGAAACGCAAATCCGACGCGACTTGGCCCTTTGTCTTCATACTGGATGACGCGAACGACGACAACGGCAAGCTCGCCGCAGTCCTGCGTGACGCTCTAATCGCTCTGCGATCTCCAAATCAGCCACAGCAGCCTCAGAATCAACGGTCCCAGCAGCAACAACAACAACAACAACAAGAAGACGACGATGGCGAGACCACAGCTCTACAACAAGACGGCCCCGGCGACGTCGTGCCAACACCAAATCGTGGTCGCCTACGCGGTAAGAAGAACAAGAAGCGGGGACGGCCAGCGGCAGAGACCAAGGACTTTGTCTGCGAGACGTGCTCTGGCGTCTGGAAGAACTTGCTGGGTCTGCAGTACCACCAGACGAAGGCGCGGACCGCTTGCAACCCCAACTACGTGCCCATCTCGACCGAGGAAAGAGAGGCCAAGAAGAGGCAGCAGAAGGAAGAGCGCGATGCAGAAAGACGGCTGGCAGAGCAGAGGGACAACGAAAACGACAACGAAAACGACAACGACAACGACAACGAAACAGGGCTGGCCAGAGGCCGTACCGTCCGCGGCCGTGCGCTTCGCGAACGAAAACAGCCTGCTGGCGCCTTCCGGGAAACCTCGCCTCTGTCGTCAGCGTCGACCCGGTCCCACTCGCTGGCGCTGTCCGTCGCGTCCGAGTCGGCCACGTCGTCTGTGTCGCCCAAGAAAGAAGGCCGCCAGTCGATCAAGGTGCACGGCAACCGCCGTCGACCGTACCGACTGCACGACTCGGACAGCAGCGACGACGAACCAGCCGATCGCCCCCGCGGCATTGTCAGCGCGGCCCACGTGTGGCTGGGCTCGACAGACGAGTCGCCGCCACGGGTCGTGGACGTCGATATGGATGCCGGCCCTTGGAACGTGCCGGACACACTGCCGGACACCACACCGCCAGCCAAACCGCCTGCTACCCTGCCCGCTCAGTTGGTCATGGAAGACACCCCGATGGAGGACGCCGTCGGAGCGAGCGACGAGCTGGCTGCAACCCGCCAAAAGAGCAACACGCCGCCACCGGTGGACGCGGCCGCTCTGCAACAGCCGGCGGCTCGTACAGAGGAGCCACAGCGTCCTCCTGCCGCTGCAGGCCGCGCGCACGTGGACATGGAGGGCATCCACTCGCCTGGCAAAACAGGGCCTGCAGGCTTTACGATGCCGCCGCTGCCCAAGAATGGCACGAAGCTGACGCCGTCCTCCTTGCGCTCACACATTGTGGCTGCGATCATACAGTATCTGGTCGACTACTACGGCGGCATCTTTCCGGGCGACCGTTCTCTGTGGTACGCTGTGTTTTGTGTCTACACCCGCAGGTTCCCGGGCGAAGACCCGCCGACGCTGCCGGTTGTCAAGGCTGCGGTCAAAAAGCTCGAAATGGCAAAGGGCGTCGAAGAGCACACGTTTGGATTCCGCGACGCCAGGGGCCAGTTCATCTACTGCCGCCTCCTAGCACGCCCCGGCACGGATCTGTTCGGCTCGACCACAGCCAGCAAATTTAAAGCGCGCATCCAAGCCATCTTCCCGCAGACATATGTGCCGGACGACTTTGCACCCACGGAGAAGGACTTGGCCATTTTGAAGATTCTCGACAAGGAAGCCGGGCGGAATGTGAGAGGCCGACGGGCGCTGCAGCCCGAGATCGAAGTCCTCAGTGCGCCCTTCTACGACCAGCCGCCAGCGGCCAGGCCGACGGCGCACTCTGTCCGTCTTGTTGGCTACGGCGACGACGAGGACGGCGATTCGTCGCAGCAAAGAACGCCCAACGGGAAGCGGAAAGCAACGCTCACGGCGGGCGACATCATTGGCGGCCCCGTGGCGGCCGAGCAGACGCCCAAGCGTCGCAAAACGAAATCCACTGGCACGGGCCCGGCCCCGGAGCATACCCTATTTAAGGCACTGGGCAATCTCTACGGCGGCGAAGGGCAGGAGCACGACGACGAAGCCGATATCGACCCAGCGCTTCGCACGGTCCGGCCAGACCAAACCAGCAACGGTGCGGGCGCTGTCACTGGCACTGGCAAAGGAAGCACTACGGCACGCCCTTTTGTCAACACGGGCAACCCGGGCCTTGACAGCCTCCCAGCATCGTTCTTTTTGTCGAAAGACGACATGCCTATGCCCCGGAACCGAAGCAAGACCAAGCCTGCCAAGGCTAGGACCGACGGCTCAGACGGCTTCACGACGTTTGTCCACTTCTTGTCGCCTAACACCCAGCTCGACGATGGCCACGACGCAGAAGAAGGTTTTGCTTATGACGCCGTGGGCCAGCACATCGCAAGCCAGGCAACCCGACTGCCGCCGCCGCGTGCGTACAAGTTCGCTACCAAGACGCAACGGCTCTACGACCTGCGCAGAACATCGCCGGGGGCCTGGCCCATCTTGTCAGAGACGTCCTTTGAGCGCCAGAGCGACGCCAGCTTCACCATGGACGGATTCATGCCGACAAAAAAGGCCTTGGTGCGCGCCAATCTGCCCCGGACCGCCGCCGAATGCGCGTCCATGCTTCGTGCCAACCAAAAGCTGCCCGCGTTCAGCGACACGCCCGAAGGCATATTCTACCGCGACCTCGAGTACTGCCGAAGCTGGGAGATGTCACAGACCGGAAGCGATCTTCTGCGCAACCCCAGTGTGGCGCCCCGCTACGTGTTCCTCAACCTGGCCTTCCCAGGACCGCACTCGACCGCGGACGATGCCTCGGCGAACGCCGCCGGCACACCGGACGTCAACCCCTACGCACAGCCACCCTTGCGATGGGTACCCAAGAACCTGTACAGCGTCAACACGATCCCGTACGGCATGCTGGATGCAGACGACACGGCGGCGAACAACCTGGCACCGACCACACCAGCCCAGCGTAAGAAATGGGCGCGCAGCAGCAGCGAACTGGCGGCGTTGCGGGAGAAGCAGACCCAGCAGGCCAAGTACGTCATGAGCTCGCGGCGCGAGCTCACGGCTTACCCCCAGAAGCCGGCCGACTACGTCCACCACCATCCCACATCGTCGTCTGGGACGGGCGGTGTGGACTGGGCGGCCAACGACACGCTTGTGGCCGCGTTTGTTGTGGTCCGGACGCTTCTGGGGGGCTTGGGGCAGGCCATTGACTGGGGCCTCATGATGCGGCTGTTCCCGGACAAGAGACTCTCGGCGCTGCGCAATTTCTGGAAGAACACGCGCCGCGAGCGCCTGCCGTACATTGACAAGTTCACCGAGCGGTTCCAGCAGGCCTATATTGACGCCTACGAGCAGCAGGCCGTCCCGTCGCTCGACTACGACAACGTCTTGGCCTATGACTGGGGCCGGGTCGTGGGCTGGGCGCTCCGCCTGATGCGCCACGACGCGAAGACGCTGCCGGCCACGCGAGACGCGCTGGAAGAGAGCCACGCGCTGATCGACCTGCCTCCGTCGCGCGTGGCCGGCTGGCGGGAAGACTTCTTCCACGTTTCGCGCTCTGTCTGGAACCGGCTGCACGACACGGCGTCCGAGGCGGCGGCAACGGCCCTTGACAAGCCTCCTCCCACCACGCCGACCGAGGCAGTGCATGCGGGCGCCATTGACGACTTGAGGTACATGGTGGCCCGCTCGTGGATCCGGGCGCTCTGCGGCACGCCCCATGCACGCTATCAGCCCTCGAGCATCAAGAGACGGCTGCTCACGCTGGGCAGCCTGGGGGCCGCGGCCATCGGCAGCGCTGGCGTGCTCGACGAGACGGCCACGAACGCCCTGCTGCAGACGGTGATTTCGAACCTGACCACCGACCGCATCCTGCGGCGCACCAAGTCGATGCTTGCTCTGGGCGGCCGCATGTACACGCTGACGGAAGCCTACGAGAGCGCGCTCGACAAGGCGGCCATGGAGGACAAGTTCCGGCAGGCGTTTGCGTTCAAGGCCGAACTGGACGCGTGCTTTCGCCGCGCAAGGGACGCGGCGTACGAGATCCCGGTCGACACCAACGACGACGGCATGGTCATGGCGCTCATGAACCTGCAAGCGCACGGCCGTGTCGCCGTGGAGGCGATTGATGCGCCTCACATTCCCTTTGGCTTTGAGACGGGCAACTACGAGTCGCGCAAGTTCCCCAAACACTACCAGCGGTTCCGCACGCGCATCGTGCCGACGGACACGTACGTCTTTAACGACGATGCCGACCTGGCCGCCATGCTGCAGCACGTGGCGACGTCTGTGACGACGGATGGTGGTGGTGGTGATGGCGGTGATGGCGGTGATGGCGGTGTTCCTGCGGACGGCGAGAACAATCGTCGGGTTCCACCGCCCCCTCGGATGGGCGCCCACAAGGAGATGCCCATCTGGCGCGACTTCTTTGGCGTTCTGGACCGCGCATGGTTTGCCCGGCTGGCGGGCGCCGTGGTGTTTGTGCTGGCCACCCGCGGCGCGACGCCCATTGGGCAGACGGCGGCCCACCTGCGGCCGGTCATTGAGCCGTTTGAAGTGCAGATGCTGACGGACTGGGCGGCCGCCGCGGGCATTCTCCACGGCGGCCGTCGGGGCCAGACGACGACATCGACGACGACAACCACTGCCGCGTCTGTGGACACTGTCGACAGCCCACCCAACAGCCACGCCGTGTCCGAATGGTGGTGGCTGCTGGTGGGCCAGATGCATGTCGCCGCGGATGCGCCCGTCCCAGACGGCGGCGTCGACAACGGCCAGTTGGGCGATGGAGACGAAGATGCCGGGGACGCGTCTTTGGCCGACATGGTCGAAGACGGTGAGGGTGAAGAGGAGGACGAAGGAGATGGCGACGACGCGTAATGCAGACCGGGTGCTGCCCTGGTGGTGTTGTACTATTGGTATCAGTTTTTGGGTTCAGTCTTGGTGTCTCTCGCCTCTGTTTGTTCTGCTTGTGCATTGTTAGGGCGTTTTTGTTCTTAACGTTGCGCCAATCGTCTCTGAGGGTATTGATGTCTTGGAGGTTGATGGTCATGCAAGTATTTGATTTTGATTCGCGGGTCTTGTACATTATATGCGTCCTTGTACACCATATCATGGCCTGGAAGCTACGGCGCTTTTCGCTTCTCGTTACTCGCTACTCGCTACTCGCTGCTCCACTGCGCGCTCGGCAATCACGGGGTAGCCGCAGCCCGGCACGCGCAGCAGCCCGTGGCCGCTGTTGTCGAACGCCACGTCGGGCGCTTCATCGCGGTCGCGCATGACACGTAACGCGTGGGCCCTGCGACTCTGTGCACACATGGTCGCCGAAGCCGATGCGCACCGTTTGGCACGAACCTATTCGTCAGGTCGCTCGGGCGTCCACAGCAGGTAGAAAAAGGAAAAAGGCGTGTTCTCAAATGGACCATGACAACTGATGACGAGCGGTGAATCACGTTCCAACGGGCCGTCGTTTCGGGTCAATGTAGGGCTACTGCCTGTTCGGATGCATGACCTTCATAAGTAGACGTTGAGCAGATGCTCTCGGGTAAATGACGAGAATGGTACCAGTAACCAGTTTTCTACTTTCGTTGACGTATCCTTACCGTACTGTTACGGTCATCTTCGCCCACCGTTGACGCCGCCCTCAAACTACCGCCGGCAGACCTTGACGATGCTCTGCAGCTGAACGTTGCGGTCCTTGAAGCCCAGGGTACTAACTCAAAATAAATGTGTATTCATGGTTTGTCCCTTTGAATAGATTGGGATCTATATTGAACTGGTATAACATAACGCCAGAAATGGACCGTTCAACTCCTAGTAAATCATCTGAAACCCGATGCCCTCTGCGGCATGTGACCCTACTTCTATGTCTGTCTGTCTCGTGCCGTGCCTCTTCAGCCAAAGACCAGCCGCAGCAGCATGGCGCCCAGAACCACACTCAGAACCACAATCGTCCGGTCCACCCACACAGGCACCGCCTCGTCCGAGTTGGGCCGCACGCGCCTCCGCATGTCACGCTGGCCTGGTACTGGTGCCGCCGTCTGTGGCTGCATCCGACGTGCCACGCGGCCAGCGGCAATCGTAAGTCCCGATGCGGGTGCAGGCGGGGCTGCCACTGCCCCGGCAGCTGGCTGTGTGTCGGGGAGAGCAATCGTCGGTGTCGGGGCGGGAACAGCGTGTGCAGGCGCGGCGGGCGGTGGCGGCGGTGGTGGTGGTGACGGCAGCTGGCCCTCTAACGGTGTTGTGGGTGCGGGCGTCGGTGTCGTTGTCGCCGGTGCAGCAGCAGGTGCGGTCGGTCCTCCTGATCCTCCTGATCCTTCTAATGCCGCTCTCGCTGGCGCCGTCTGAGGCGTCGGCAGCTCGTCCCGAAACACCAGCTTCAGCTCGGCCGGCACCACGTCTGCCTCCTTTGTCGCCGCGGACCCCCCGGCGGCCGCCTCCTCGGCCGCGCTCGCTTCCAGAATGGCGGCGTTTGTCCGCCCGCCGCACCCTGTGCACACAAACGACGCGCTCTCGCTGGCCAGCCGCCGCCGCACCGTGTCCGACGCCTCCACGCCGCCCACCTGGCCCTTGGGGTCCGTCTCCATAAACGAGCGCAGCGCGACGAGGGCCGTGCGCAGGCCCCAGGCCGGCTGCCACGTCTCTTCGTGGTGCCCGCTAATCGACAAGCAGATCTCGCGGTTGGCCTCGAAGCGGCCCGAGGGCGTGACGAAGCGGAACGACGGCGGGCGCAGCGGGTACGTCGGCGGCAGGACGATGCGGCCGTGGTAGATGCCTTCGGAGTACACGGAGTTGGGCGGTCCGCGGAGGGTAAAGTGCCATTCGAAGAGGTCGGTCTCGAGCGGGGCCGCGGCCAGATCGGCGGACGGCGACGCGGCAAGTTCTTGTGCCTCGCGGACTGCCATGAACAAAAAAGGGGACCTGTTAGTATCAAACGACGATGCGAAAGACGCCGTGGGGGGGGGAGGGAGCTCACGAATGCGCCGGATTGTGGGCGACTTGGCATTTCGACGAGACGTAGCCATGATGGGCAATGTACGGGGCAGGAAGACGTTGATGGCGCGACGATTCTTCGGCGAGGAAATGAGTTGAAGTGACAAAGCGAGAAGGTTGAGAAGGAGGAACGAAATGGTCCACGAAACCTGAAGGTGGTGATAGAGTTCGGTTTGTCGATGTAAAGGCGAGGCTGGCCTTTTGGGTTCCATAGTGGAGGCTGCTAAAGTAGCCTGCCCGCGGCCTCCGTCGGTGCTGACGTGATTGGGACTTGGAGGCGCATTTGGGGGGTTACTAGCGTGATAGTTGTTGCCTTATTGGGCAAGCTGGGCTCGTACTGTTCGTGTAGTGTGCCGCCACGCCGGAAAGCCACATGTCCTGTCCTGGAAGCAGCGACCGGCCAGCTTGTCCCTGAAATTGAGGTGCCGCATTTATGCAAAAAAAAAAAAAAAAAAAAAAAAAAAAAAAAAAAGCAAATTACAAAGTAGGCAGAGACGACTTCTGGCGCGGGCAAACAAACAACGCAATATGTATTCCGTGAAAGCGAGAACGAGACGTGCCTACCAGGGCCAATGGTTTGCTATCGACAGAGATGCCGTTGAACGTGCTCCGCTTTCGCCGCAGCGCGCTGTAAGTGAGGGACAAGAGCGACGGCCGTGTGAGCTTCCCATCACTCTCGTCGTGACCAGGCCGAGGACGACGTTTGCTTCATCCATACAGACGAGCGTTCAATGGATGCCCTCCTCGAATTATTCTTTGATGCTCATGACACTCGCCTGACCCAATCATGAAGTAGAGTAGACATGGCCTCCATATCTGCCAAGTGGCAGCAGCTGGCAAGCACTCCAGTGAAGCGTTGACTTACACGGAAAGAGCCCAGGATGCAGCTCTCGATCGCACCTTCTCGTTCAGGGCGTTGTGCAAACACAAAACAATGGGCCAGCTCTTTCCGTTTGTCTTGCAAAATTGCATCGCTCGCTCTTTAGATTTTGTCTTTCCTTTCACATTTTCACATCGTCATATATTCACATCTTCATACTTTCGCAGCTTCACGACTCACGCCCATACGATCCCTGCTCATCAACCTCACGACGTCGGCCATGGAGGACGACGACGAGAAGCTCTTTCAGTGCTTCGAGTGCGCGGACGGCGTGCAGATTTTTGCCACCGAGGAAGCCCTCATCACGCACAAATGGGACATGATCCGGACCACGAAGCGCAAGTCGCACATGTCCTGCCACATCTGCAAGCTGGACCACCGCACGTTTGAGGGCCTGGTCCGCCATTACCAGCTGAACCACCCGGTGAAGCAGCAGCTGCATTGTCCCGGATGCCGCGCCCTCTTCACCCGGCTGCACGCCCTCATGCACCATCTCGACAACGACGACTGCCCGCACATTCGGGCGAGCCGAGTCAAGGAAAGCCGTGCTCTGCAAGTGCAGGCCACCAATCTTCTGGCGAGTGCGGCGGCCCAGGCCGCCCTCGACGGTGGCGGCGGCTCGGTGCGCGACGACGGTGGTTTCAACGTCAATGCAGAGTCCGCCGTCGACGGCGTCGTCGCCCCCGACGCGGTGGCGAGCCGGGAGACGCAGCTCGGCATCTTCAACCACAGCGGCGTGACCGTCGGCGATTTCGGCACCTTCATCAACATTGACCCCCGCGAGGCCGCCGCCGTCGCGGCTGAATCGAAGCTCGAGACCGTGCGCACGACGACGGCGAGCGGCATTCGCGGCAATCTCGTGAACCGAAGCGAGAACAACGGCCATGCGGTCCCGCCCACGTCGGCGTTGGCCTCGGAGGCGCTGCTTCTCAAGCGGCAGCGCAACATGGGCGTCGGCGGCATCCTGGACCGGAAGGGCAAAGGCAAGGGGAAAGCCAAGGCGGACAAGGACGAGGACGAAAACGAGGACGCGGACGCGGATGGGCTGGCTGTTGGCGCTGGAGCGGACATGGACAGGCTCAAGCACCGCCAAGTGGTTCGTGACTTCCGCCACGGTGACTCCAAGGCGCCCGATCTGCTGACGGACGACCATCTCCACGCCGTCCACCAGCGTTTTCAGGGCCTGAGCGTTTGGGCGGGCCAGACCATGCTCAAGCCCGAGGCCGCTGCGCACCACGGCCATGGAAGTGAAGGCTCCGGCGGCCACCCTGCACCAGCAACCAAGCCGACGCCGCGTGGCACACCCACCAATCCAGGCCCGACCCTGGGTGCTGGCCTTGCCAACCTCGCCAACCTCGCTGGCATCGCCGGCCTCTCGAGCCGGAGCAAACCCGATGAAGTCAAGGCGGCGGTCGCTTCGTGGCGGGCCGCTGCCCGCGCTGGCTTGGGCGCGCACGACTTTGGCGCTGGCGGCGACGGCGATATCCTCACCCACGCCATGGACAACACCTCGCCCCGCAAGAAGGACATCACCGTCCACCACCCGGACCACCCCAACTTCAGCGTCTACCGCTACGAGAACAAGACCAACCGCCGCTTCAACTGCCCGTACCCCAGCTGCCAGAGCGTGGGAAAGCTGTTCAAGACCGCCGGCGGGCTCATTGGCCACCTGCGCTCCGAGACCGCGCACTCCAAGGTGCGCGTCCAGTGCCCGTCGTGCTTCGTCCTCTTTGAGACGGTCAATGCCCTCATGCAGCACTGCGAGTCGCAGTCGAGCCGCTGCCAGTTCCGCGAGTCGGACGACTACATTCCCTTCCTCAACATTCTGAGCGCCGGCGTCGCCGAGATCCACGGACGTAACGTGGACATGACGCTGTCCTACGACGTGCAGGAGGGCGCGGCGCGGATGCTGCTCATGGACGACGGCCAGGACACTGAGTCGCAGGCGGACTCGCAGGCGTACTCGCAGGCGTAGAAGCGTCGCCGAGGAAAGTCTGGTAGGTCACAAAGACACAAAGCAGAATAAGGACGGTGATGAATCTGGGAGAGGACGAGGTAGAAACGAATAAAGAGATGACGACCGTCAGAGGAAAGGACAAGCTGCAAAGCACGCAGACACAGATACACATTCACCGTGAAATACTCGGATTCAATTTACAGCTGTTCAAATTGCCTAATACAATACGAGATAGTAGCTTGGGCAACAGTAATTACACCGTAATGCAGGCAAAGGATGAATATCAAACTGCAGCGCTGGAAGGCGTCACGTCACCTGAAACTGTCCTACAGCAGGCATTGCAACCCCCACTCATCTGCAATTTAGGAGACTTTAGCGCGTCACTTGCTAGCTGCGGTTGGCTGCCGTGTACTGTTATCTGGCGAATCATATGCTGTCATTTCGACTAGTAAGAGGCTGGGGAGCGTTACAGCGTTCCCTGAAATAGAGCTGTTTCAGGGACACTACGCTGGCCACAGACGTCCATTTCGGGCAAGCGCCTTGCCGTTCGCGCCTTCTGCCTCGCTTCCCCATCGACAACGGCAACCCACGAGCGACTTCCTTTTCCGTCGCACGAATCCCCCAACCCCCCCCCTAACCTATATCGACGACACAAACAACACACATCACACGAGACACCTCGATACTCAGCCCCAGCGAACGGCAAGCATCCCCCGGCCGATGCTCCCGCGCCATGTCCAATCGATACGGCGGCAGCTTCCGCAACGGCAACGGCTACGGCAACTTTGGTGCTCCGCCGCCACAGCAGCAGAACCCGCCTGCACGACAGCAGCAGCCTCAACCACCGCAAGTGTCGCCGGCGCGGCAGCGACTCCAGCCACAACCGCAGCAGCAGCAGCAGCAGCAGCAGCAGCAGCAGCAGGACGAGTACGACCCGTACGGCGACGGGTACAGCAGCAGCAATGGGCGAGGCGGCGGAGGCTACATGAGCTCGTCGTCGCGCGGCGGGGACGACCGCAGTGACCGAGGAGACCGGAGCGACCGTCGACCTCCTCCACGGATGGGCGGCAGCGGCGGCGGTGGACGCCAGATGTACCGGCAGGCCGACAGCGAAGACGAGCCCTACGACCAGTACGACGACCGCGGCCCTCTGCCACCCACACAGCGCCGTCCGCGACAGCAGCCCTCGAACCAGCAGCTCCAGACGCAGCAGCCGCCATATGGACGACAGGGACCCGGTGGCGACCGCGGCGGTGGCTACGGCGGCGGCGGCGGCGGCTACGGCGGCGCGTCGTTGCAGCCCGAACGCCGCCAGATCGGCCAGGACGCGCTCGACCGCATCCGCGCCGAGTGGCCGGCCATGTGCCAGACGGACTGCGTCCCCGTCCAGATGGCCCTGCAGCTGCTCGACAGCAGCTCCGTCGGCCGCGCCCACGAGTACCGCGCCTTCCAGCGCACCCACCAGTACCTCCAGGACTCGCTCAAGGGCATCGTCCACGACTACCACCAGGGCTTCAACAGCTCCATCGGCACCTTCCACAAGATCCAGAGCAGCATCCAGGCCTCGCAGAAGAAGGTGCGCACCCTCAAGGAGGGGCTCGCGGCCTCCAAGACCAGCCTCTGCAAGACGGACCCGGAGCTCGCCAAGCTGTACGCGGCGTCGCAGCAGTACGACGATCTCCTGCAGACCCTGGCCGACCTGGACGAGCTGCGCCAGGTGCCCGAGCGGCTCGAGGCGCGCATCTCGGAAAAGCAGTTTCTGACGGCCGTCGAGGTCCTGCAGAACGCGCTGCGCAAGCTGCGCAAGCCCGAGCTCGACGGCATCGGCGCCCTGTCGGATCTGCGGAGCTACCTCGCGAACCAGGAGACGGCGCTCATGGACATCTTGGTCGAGGAGCTGCACGAGCACCTCTACCTCAAGTCGCCGTACTGCCAGGAGCGCTGGCAGACGCTGGCCAAGCACCAGGGCGCGGGCAGCGGAAGCAGCGGCGCCGCCGCCTCCACGACGACCGCCACCGCGGCGGGGACCCGCAGCAGCGCGACGCCTACGCCCGGTGTGTCGGTGCTCGGCGCCTCCATGGGCCCGGCCGCGTCGGCCGCCGACACCCCCGCCAACTTTGTGCCCTTCTTTGCCCTGCTCGACAGCATGGACGTCGAGCATGCCGTGCAGGAAGACCCGGCCCGCAACCCGGAGGGCGACACCTTTTACTACATCACGCTCGTCATCGAGTCCCTGAACAAGCTCGGCCGCCTCGAGGCCGCCGTCGACCAGCTGAAACAGCGCCTGCCCGTGGAGCTCTTTTCTGTCGTCCACGAGACCGTCAACGAGATCGACCAGAAGCACCCCAGCTCCCTTCGGGGTGGCAGCGGCAGTGGGACTGGCTCCTACCTGGCACGCGCCGGCTCGGGTGGCGGCAGTCGCGCTGGTGGTGACGGAACCGATGCCAGCGGCGGCGGCGGCAGTGGCTCGGGTGGGGCAGCGGGTGCCGCATCGTCCTCCTCGGCCGCAGCGGCAGGCGCTTCTTCTGCCGCCAGCGCGGGCCTCCACATCTACGGCAGCCGGGAGATGCAAATGCGCGCCGACGTCATCTACGATCTCCTGTGGACTCTGTATGGTAAATTCGAGGCCATTGCCGAGGGCCACCGCATCTTCCACGAGTACATCAAGGCGCTGATCCGCCGCGAGGGCGCCGGCAACAACAGCGCGCTGCTGGGCAGCTTCAAGGAGCTCTGGAACCTGTACCAGAACGAGATCCGATCCCTGCTGCACAACTACGTCACCACCGATGCCGACCTCTACCGAAGCGGCAGCCACGGCGGCGGGGACCGTGGAAGCATGTTTTTGAACGGCGGCGGGCTTCGGAACGGCTCGCTTGGCGCGGGCGGCAGCCGCGAGAACATGTTCAAGTTCAACGAGGCCGATGCCAAGTCGCTCGAGATGGCCACCGAGTACGAGGCACTGGACGGCATCATCCGCGCCGCTGTTCCCGGCCTGACGAGCAACAACGGCGCGGGCGGTGCTGCCTCTGGCGGCACTGCCACCGCCATCCGCGGCGGGCGCAAGGGCGGTGACAAGAAGGGCGGTCGAAAGAGCTACGGCGCTGCAGGCAGTCTCGACCCATTGTCGCACGCCGGTGGCGGCGGTGGCGGCGGCGGCGGCGGCGACTTCCACAAGTCGCTTGTCGAGCCCAGTGTGTTCAACATGAGCCTGCTTCTGCCGCCGACGCTGGTGTTCTTGCAGCGGCTGCGGGGCATCGTGCCGCCCGGGTCCGACCTGGCCGCGAGCACGCTGACGTCGTTCCTCGATAACTTTTTGGTCAACGTCTTCCAGCCGCAGCTGGACGAGACGCTCGGCAAGCTCAGCGACGCCGTCTTTGGCGAGGCGGACGCTTTCCAGATGGATCCGCAATGGAGCCAGGTGGCGCGCCGGCCCGTGTTCAAGGGCACGACGGCCTTTTTCTCCGTCGTCACGGCCTTCTGCCGCATGCTCGGCACCATCCCGCACGACCAGGCGCTCAGCGCGCTGATTATCACGCAAATGATGCGCTACTACGATCGGTGCTTCAGCTGGTACAAGGCGCTTGTGACCAAGACGCAGGTCGACAGCAGCGGCGGCGGCGGTGCCAACGACTCGACAGCCAACACGTCCAGCCCGACGGGAAGCGACGCCGACACCCAGCGTCTGCGCGAGTCGGCCGTGCTCGCCCTCGAGGGCAGCGATGTGGCCAATACAGTGCGTGCGCTCTGGGCCGTCGATGAGGAGCTGGCCGACGCAGCCGAAACCGGCGCCGCGTCTACAGCAGCCACGTCGGCCGTCGACGATCCGATGGTCCTCATGCTCAAAAAGACAGCGCTGCTGCAGCGCGAGGTGGAGCAGCTGCTGGCGCGCTACAGCGGCAAGAGCCAACGCCTCGGCATGAGCGACGTGATCTCCGACCGCGATGCCATCACATCCTTGTGCTTGCTGTACACGAGCATGAAGTGGCTGGCGGTCAAGATTGGCGGCCTGCGGCACATTACACGACCCGACGGCGACCCTGTCGGCCCCGGCCGCGGCGCAGGCAGCAGCAACAGCGGCGCAGGTGCGAGCGGCGCGGCGGGTTCCGGCTCGTCGTCCGCCCTGGTCAAGCCCGACAAGCGGCGGTGGACGCTGCTCAACACGGAGTCGGGCAAGGCTCTGGCCGATTCTGGCCCCGTCTACCTGCCCATGACACAAGAATCTGTGCAGTATGTTTTTCCCCACTGAAGGCCCCGCCTGCATTCTCAAAACGATACGTGGAAACGTGCATCCCATACTAAAACTCACGTCCCAGATCCTTTGATAGCATTGTCTCGTCGTACGAGGAGCTCGCGGCCACGTCGCTGCTGACGCTGCACCTCGAAGTGCGCTGCCGCATCGCCTATGCGCTCGGCGTCGCGCTGTCCCCCGAGGCCACGGCGCCGTACTTGCTCGACCAGGACGTCAACGAGCCCGACCCGCAGATCCTGTCGCTCAACAGCGAGCTCATCGCGTACGACGAGACCGTCGTCCGCTGCCTCGTGCGCGACCGCGAGGTCGACTTTGTGCGCCAGGGCCTGGGCCGCCTGGTCAACGCCTATCTCGTCGGCAACGCCAAGATGGTCACGCCCATGAACAGCCGCGGCTGCGGGCGCATGCAGCTCAACATCCTGGTGCTCCAGCAAAACCTCAAGAACATTGAGGACGGCGTCGACCTGGCGCGGGCCGCCAACTACTACGCCCTGTTCGACAAGGGCCCCGATGCCATTGTGGCCAAGGCCAAGGAGTGCAAGGAGCGCAAGGAGCGCACGGAGGCGGAGGCCGCGGCCACGGGTGCCGCCATGGCCGCCGACGGCGAGGCGGCCCTCCGCAGCGACACGTTTACGTACGACGAGCTCAAGGAGCTGATTGAGCTGTACTACTCGGAGCAGCTGGCGAACCCGGAGCGGGGTATCGAGAACGCGGCACGGCGGCAGATGGGCGAGAAGCTGATGGAGCTGGGCGAGCACCTGTGGCAGATGTGAGGACGATCGTGAGACGATGATTTGGGGATGGCCTCGAAGAGCGTGTCTGTTGATCATGGGAAACGGTATATACGAAAAAGGCAAATTACGATTGATTTTGAGTTGACGACTGTGGAACAGCTTTACAGTGTCACCACGATATGGCCATGTGTAGGAAGGATGACGATGTCACACGAACGAGTGACATCAACGAGTGCGATGTAAGGTAATGGACTGGTTTGACTACCAGATCTATCTGAGTTGCTATGCGACAGTATGAAGGATGCTACGAAAAGACGTGGTGGTTACTAGAAGAAGCAGACAGCAGTTTCGAAGAAGACGGCGACAAATAGCTGTAAGATACAGACTATGGTATGGTGATGCTGGTCACTATGGGCACGGAATTCTCGTCATTTTGTTGATTTGAAAGTGCAGCGTTTCGTACTTCTCGTTGAGTGTCTTTACAGGCACTTGGCACCTGAAGGCCCCGAAACCCCCTGACGACGCCTCCCAAACTCCACATTGGCACTCTAAAATTGGAATGGCCGGAGCACACAAAAAACAAACTAACAGGCTCTACTTTACGTAGGGCGCGCACCCGCAGCTTCCGGAAAGAACGAACAGGACGCGGGAAACGGAGGCGCCGTCACAGAATGGAAGTAACGGGGCAGCTCTTTCTTCCTACGGATGTAGATGTAGTTTTGTTCTTTCCTGATTTATTTACTTCGCGGTCACTGTTTCCGTTTCCAGCCCTCCTTCTCTTGCCCAATTGTGCACTGCCACAGTTGTCAGTGGTCGTCAGCAGCTCGGCGCAGCAGGAACGACTGGGACGTACCGGTGCCCCGTCTCCACAGCCAAGATCTTAGCAGCTTTCATCCACGTCGACTCTCCCTTCCCTCCGTTTCAACCTCCTTTTCCACGACAACGACATATCGACAACGTGCTCTTTGCTCTGCGTCCATCCCACACACGCCCTCCACCCATGATGCCCGCCTCGACGGCTGCGTCTGCATCTCCTGTCGTTTAGCGTTTTGCGTTGATTGAACCGTCTTTCGTCCTGCGTCGTGCGTTGTGCATCTTTCGCCTCGACGTTGCACTGGCAGCATTTCGCATTTTGCATTTCGCATATCGCATTTCCTGTCACATTTTCCTACCGTCGCCACATGGACCGCAACGGCCGTCGTATGCAGACCCGCCCCAACACCTTCTCTCGCCGGTCTTCCGACGACCCCGACTCCAACTCCGTCGAGCTCCTCAGCCACGCTCATCCCTACACGGCCGAAGACGAAGACCATCCCGACCATCCCGACCATCCTCCGCCGCCTCCCGCCATGATCGGCCGCCGCCTCGCCCGGCGCCTCGAGCGTGCCTGCTGCACCTGTGCCACGTACTTCCCGCTCGCGTTCGTCTACAGCATCTCGACATGGGCCTGCTGGGTCATTGTGCACCTCGTCACCACCCCCGAAGCGTACAACCACGCGTCCTGGACGGGGCCCTGGTGCGCCGTCGTGGCCGTCGTCATCTATGTCATGATGGTCTGGTCGTACACGGCCGCCGTCTTTACGTCGCCCGGCAGCACCACCAACGACCAGGGCTACAGCACCGTGCCCACCAACTCGGCGTCGCCCTTTAGCGGCCTCACCGACCACAGCGAGGGCGGCGGCATGGACTCGGGCAGCCTCACGGTCAAGTCCAACGGCGAGATGCGCTTTTGCAAAAAGTGCCAGGCCCGCAAGCCCGACCGTGCCCACCACTGCTCGACCTGCCGCCGCTGTGTTCTCAAAATGGACCACCACTGCCCCTGGCTGGCCACCTGCATTGGCCTGCGCAACGGCAAGATGTTTCTTCTATTTCTGATCTACACCTCCTCGCTCAGCATCTTCTCCTTTGTCGTTGCCGGCTCCTGGGTCTGGACCGAGATTGTCAACGACGCCACCTACACCACGGCCGGCGAGAGCCTCATGCCCGTGCAGTACATTATGCTGACCGTCATCGGCGGCATCATCGGCTTTGCTGTCGGTCTGTTTACGGCCTGGCACATTGTCCTTGCGAGCCGCGGTCAGACCACCATAGAGTGCATGGAAAAGACGCGCTACAGCTCGTCTCTGCGCGGCTCCATGCCCTTTACGGCTGCTGCCACCGTCGCTGGCGCCATCGGCGACGGCATCTCGACGCTGTCGGCCAATGCCCAGGCAGCCGCCGCCGAGCGCGGTGTGCCTCTGCCGCAGTACGGTCGGCAGATGAACCAACTTCATGGTGGTGGCGGCCGCAGCGGCGACGAGGAGCAGGGCATGTTCGCCGGTGTCCAGGGCGCACACGACGACAACGACGACGACGACGACGACAGCACGCTTCTCAACTACAGCAGCAGCGTCGCCAGCGGTGCCCAAAGCCAGATGGGCCGCCGCATGACCTATGACGACCTCGAACGCTACCGCGCCCAGAAGCGCCACGAAGCCTACCTCGATGAGCAGGACAGCGCCAAGCTGCCGCACGCCTTTGACCTCGGCACCCGCCGCAACCTGCGCCACATGTTCGGCACCAAGCCCTGGCTGTGGCCCATTCCCGTCTGCACCACCATCGGCGACGGCTGGACCTGGGAGGCCAGCCCCAAGTGGCTGGCCGCCCGCGAGCGTGTCCAGAAGGAGCGCGACGCCCAGCGTGCGCGTGAGCGAGCCGCTGGCTGGGGCATGGACGACGGCGCCGCGTCACCGCCGCCCATTGTCGTTACGTCTGCCACGCCTCCACGGCCACGCCCACAAGGACCCGGCCAGGGCCAGCCACCTGCTTACAGCCCGCAGCAGCGCTACCAGAACCAGCGCGCCGCGCCTCCTTCCAAACTCAACCTCCACCCTTCTTCGTCTCGGACGCAACCGAGCCGCTACCACCGGTCGCCGCTCGCCCCGTCCAAGGCTGACCGTATCCTGGGCCGTGACCCCAACCAGGGCTACACCGATGCCGACTCGAGCGCCCGCCGCAACAACGAAAACACCAACCGCAATGCCGTCTCAATGGAGCGGTTGAGCACCACCGGCCGCAAGCTGCCAGAGGACGACGTGGACCTCTTTGAGGACGAGAACGACGACGACGAAGAGGACCACGACGACGAGCTCGACAACACGAGCGAAGAGGATGCCACTGCCTTGGCGGATGCGCCTGTCCTCGCTCCTATGCAAAACCAGCAGAACCAGCGTCGAGCCTTGTCGCCGCTGCGGGCCCGCTGGATGCCCGACCCCACCAGTGCGCTCCTGCGCAAGGCCTCGCCCGTCGGCGGCTCCGGTGCAGGCTCGCCCACGGCCGGTGCGGCATCCCCAACCGGCACACGGCCAGACCCTGCCGATGGCGCCCACCAGCAGCCGCACGAGGAGCTGGACGATGGCAGTGTCGACTAAGTGTCCCCTAGGGCCACGCCCTTTGCCAATTACATCATGTACATGCACATATAGCACGCGCCAATTGCTTTTTTTTAGACAACCCCCGTCCATCATTTGGCGAGGCGGGATGGGAGTAGCTTTTGCATTGTTCTATTTTTCTGGCGCGTTCACGGGTCTTCCTTTGTTTCATCTCAATTTGTTGTATTTGTTTTGGGTTATGCAGCGGTTTAATTGCTCTTTTTTTTCTGTAACGGCCAAAGTAAAGCATACAGTGTGTAAACTATCAGTTTTATTTCTTCCGTCTTGGGTTCGACTTTTGTCTTACTTCGTACTTTGATTCATAAAATTGTTAGCTGGTTTGCAGAGATATTGGCCGCATTCACACAAAGAATTTATCACATATAAAAATGCCAGGAAATGGTCATGACGGTATATCATTCGATATAAACGAAAACATGAATGCAGTGCTGTAAGTCGATACTGTAGTAAACATGATAATATCCCGTTGGTCTCGGTGCCAAGACTCCATTCCCTCTCAGGTATGCAAAGTGGGAAAATAAAACGTGGCCGTCACATGCAAGAAGGAAGTCGAAAACTGGAAATATTCAGATAGAAATAAAGAGAGGGGGTTTGTGGCATGACCAAATTGGGCAAAATACATAAGTGTTATTCTAGCGAATCCATTGTCTGAAAAATAGAAAAGAAAACCATCCGTCCTATGAAATAAAATGAGACGCAAAAAAGAATAAGTGAAATAAGGGAAATAAAGGAAATAAGGGAAATAAGGGAAAAAATAGCATCGTCCTAGTATGGTTGTTCGTGCGTTTGATTTGCTTGCCTCGCCTTTCTATCCATTAAACATGATACCAAAAATACAAAATGAAGTGCGGTCGTGAGTGTGAAGTGTCCATCCACCGTGGGGGGAATAGCAACAAAATGCAATCGTGTAGACAAAACGAAAGATGTGATCAAATAACGCCGGTTGGGTCGGGTAAAAAACTGCGGGAAAAGAGGTGGAAAGAACTGAAATAAAAACAAACATAACAAAAAAAAGAAACCCTTGGATGCGCTGACCGTTTCAACCCACACGTCGCTATGCTATATCTTTTGTCATGTCTTGAAGCTTGCTATAAATGGGACACGAGAGGCAGAAATGCAGAAATGCAGAAAATGACAAATGACAAATGAAAACGAAAGAGTAGTACAAGAAGAGAAAGAAG